GCACGCCCGCCAGCCACCACAGTGGAGCGGATGGCCTATCCTCCCATCTACAGGCGCTCGGAAACATAACTAGTAGTTGTTTTGCGATGGTGCCCGTTTGGCGTCCAATTTCAACAACAATGGAAGCTCAACCGTGCCCGAAGCACATGGCCCGGAGGGGTACGCCGCCGGCAGCGTGGTGGGGGAGGGGGGTGGAGGGGGACAGCCAGCGGCAATCGGAAGAATCATATTCCATGTTCGAGTGGCCTTCCTCTTCGTTTGACTCTGGATCGTGTTTGCTTGTACCTTGGCTACCCTGGGCGGCGCGAGAGCAGTGATTGGCCGAAGCACTGTACTGTGTTGTGTATAGCGGGGACGTAGAACAGCTCTGGCCAGGGCAGCCAATCAAGAGCCCAGCCTGTTTTCCTCCTTCGGCCACCCTCTCCCTTCCCGCACTCCGCCTGCCGCCTATCGGGCCGCCGCCGGCTTTCCGTATTCCGAGCATTCCTCAGAAGAGTCCTCAGCCAGCCCTTTGCGCGCTCGCTCACTGTGAAGGGTTTTCCCTGAATTTCAGGGCTAATTGCATTGCCCATTCCATAAGTACTCATGATGGGTTTCAGATGAAAATGTCATTTCTCTCTCTGTCTCTCTCTCTCACACACACACACGTCGGCTTTCCCCCCCCCCTTTCCCTCCCTCTCTCTCCCTCTCTCTCTCTCTCTCTCTCCCGTCCCCCCCCCCTTCCCCCCTTCCTAATACAGACGACTCACGGTCCGTTGCGTGACCGCACTTTTCCGCCTCGCCTTTCCATTGTCTGCAAGGTGGCAGGTGAGATTGGGGATCGGTTTGTTGCTCCGTCTCTCTCGCACTCAAACGCAACACCCCATGAGTGCGACAAAGACAGGACGACGGAACGATTCTTGGGGGGGGGGGGTCACGAGGGCTGCTACAGCCTACATGTTATGTAACAGTTTCTTGTGCGGTGCGGCGGATCCTCGATGGCTGCCATGCGATCTCGTTATTGTGGATCGGCAGGCTGCCGAGTGTTCTGTCTCTCTCGCACTCATGGGGCGCCCCGTATAGCCCCGTACGGCTGCGAGGGAGAGAGAGGAGGCACGCTACTCGTCGCGGCTCGTTTACCGCGTAGGGGAGGGGGAGGGCCTGTGCGAGAAGTCGCTGTGCAAAAATATGACTGGCGGCACTGCCCTATTGTGCCGAAACTCCTGTTTCCTTGCAGAAGGAATTCCGTTTGATGTAGTTCCACTGTATCAGAACATGTAAAATTGACTCCTCGTGCTGTTCCGGAGGCACTGCGTTTGTTCGCGCCGCATACTCTCCAATCCCAACCCAACAAAACAGAGCATGCGTGGTTTCGTTACCGAGAATTTTTTTGTGGTGTCACGAACAAAGCAACCCGTCAATACGAAGCAATTCTCAGTTCGTAAAGGAGAGTAAATAGTTTGCGCCTAAGCCGAGGCTTAGGCTGCTCAAACAACCGTGGCGATTTCCACACTTCCTGGTGCTGAGGAGTTCTTTACACTGGGCGTGTGGAGTTAGCAGTCTCCACACTTGAAGTGTGGAGTAGTTCACCACAAAGCCCCTATCTCCTGGCATGGCGCAAACGTGGAGTACTCTGCACTTTAAGTGTGGAGAACTGCATGCTCTGCACTTCCAAGTGCGGGCACTGCAAATTCCACACCTCCTCATTTCATGTGTGGAGTACTCCACACTCCACTCTTGGGTTTCACAGTGTTGCTGCAATGTGTCGCGGTGTTTGCTTCGAGAATCCTTGTTCCAGGGGCACTGCGCGCACGAAGCCTTGTCTCGGGGTGGGCGGGCTGATCGAGGGGGGGGGGGGGGGGGGGAGAGCAGGGGACAGGACGCAACACCTGACTTGCTCGGCGGGGCTCTCAGCACGTCATCCCCCAGAGGCACCATGGGGTGCGATGTAAGGAGATTGCGGCGGTCTCCACGGATGCAGTGGGGGTGGAGGCGGAGAGCGAGGCAGGATGGGCGGAGAGAGCGAAGGGGGAGGGGGCAGGGGCACGGCGGGAACGCACAGTGGGCGAGAAGATCGGTGCAGGTGGCCAAAACTCAAAACGCGTTTTGAGCTCCAGAGTCGTGAAACAGGACTTGAACCGAATGTGTGACCCCACCAATTGATTCCTGGTTTGGAGAGCAGTCTGTTAGTAGGGTCACATGTTCGGTTCGAGTCCTATTTTGCGATTCTGGAGCTCAAAACGCGTCCGGGATTTTGACCACCTCCACACTGGTTCTCTGGTCCACTGTCCAGTCTGCAGGAGGAAAGGACCACGTCGGGGACGCTGGTTGGCTGCTGCCTGTCAAAAGGCGGTTACTCTGCACGGCACGCTGCAAAGCGGAGTGCCCCGGCCTCGGCTGCCCGGGCAAGCCTGCCTTCTGACGTGGGAGCGATCCGTGAGATCCGATGACGCGCTGCGGTGGCGGCTTCTCGGAACGGTCGGCGGCCCCGTCGCTCTGTCTCTCTCACACTCGTGGCACATGGTGACTTGTCGCACGGCGAAAGAGCGAGAGAGAGAGAGATAGACAGACAGGCAGACAGACACACAGACAGATAGACAGGCAGACAGAGAGCGGTCTCTGCTGGTTTTCGCAGGTTTCACGGAGCAAAGGCATAGGCTAGAGGTGAGTTCCAGGAAATCCGGGAATAATATCAGAAACCAGGTATTTGCCTCGTAGAGCTGATACGCGAGGCTGCGCGACGGGCTCACAGAAAAAAGAGGGAAGCCTGTCCTTTTGGCAGACGAACGTCAACCTCGTTACCACAGAGAGGCTGGTCTGTCCGTGTCCGGTGATGCGGCCTCGCACTGGCCTCGCAGTGACGGACGGGATAGGATTGGGGACCAAACGTGCGCGCCTACTGGCTTTTAGCATACCACACTTACTCATTCCCTTTGACGAGGCCTGGCCCGTGCATACACAGTAAATACTCCACGAAGCATCGTAAAACGAACAAGACAAAGACCAGTGGCGTGCGCAAAAAGGGGGGGGGGGAGGGTGTCTCAGGGGGGTCATGACCCCCCCCCCCTTTGGCCACTAGACAGCCGCCTGGAAGGTAGGCAAATTGCGTCACTTTCCCCCTGTAAGTAGGCAAAAAGCATGGCCTGACCCCTCCCTTTCAAAATTTCTGCGCACGCCACTGACAAAGACATTATAAATCTACGCAGAAATGCTTCGTATCACGAAGCGGGATCCTTCGCTTCCCGGAGTGTTTCTTCGTTATGCGAATCAGTTCTTCAATGCCTTCTTCCCTTCGTAGCCATGAAGCAGATGATTCGCAGATAAAGAGCGTAACTGCCACTGAGTAAAGCTGTCACTGATTATGCATTTCTCTTTAGAATTATTTTTCATTAGCGGCACAGTGATTTTTCATTGATTCAATGAAACACCACTTTGTGCAGCACCTCTTCCTAGCTCTACTAAACTGTCGTTTAAGTGACGCGGAGGTGAGAGAGAGAGGGGGGGGGGATTCTCTCTGCCACACCTCTGGCTTCCCTTTGGGTCCAGCGCGGGGGATAGGCTGGAGAGGGGAATCCAATTATATTTCGGTCAGCACAGCTTAGCCGCACCCGGAGCGCGGCGCGCCGCCCGCAGCGGGAGTGTTGGTGTTCCGATTAATTTGCGCTAACTGGGAGCCGAAAAGGACTGCAGCACTTAAGCAATCGTCCGACGATGGGGAGAATATTCTCGCTGTGTTTTCTGCGCCACTGTCCTCCTCCCCCTTTCCTCCCCACTGTAAATGTCTTACGGTGAAAGGCTGCACCAACATATTATGGTGGCGATTTATCATAATACCAACGAAATTCGTCAAAATATCTATAAGGTACAGTGAATTCTCAATGATATGTTATGAAGTCAGCTGCATCACCATAATATGGAACATTTTCACCATAATATGGAGAATCTTCACTGTACAACATTTAGAGTGCCCCTCCCCAGCCGAGCGGTTCCGAATAGTCTCTTCGTCGCTCTGTCACTGTCGCACTCATGAGGCTATCCCTAAGGGTACGGCTACGAGAGAGACAGAGGGACGAAGCAATCTTCGGAATCGCTCGGCAGTAAACGACCCTGACCCGCCGCACCCTCTTCAAAGACGGGCGTGACAACGCTTATCTTTCCGGCAGTGGTTTGCCGGCACACACACACACACACACGCACACACACACACGCTCATACACTTTTGGTCTCATGTTGCAACGTGCACAGCTGCCGCACCCCTCCCTATCCCTCATCATCCCCGGTACAGAACACCCCCCCCCCTCCCTTCGCCTTCCTGTATTCCCCCCCGTCTCTCTCTCTCTCTCTCTCTCTCTCTCTCTTCTCTCCCCCTCTCTCTCTCTCTCTCTCTCTCTCTCATTCTCTTTCCCGGTCGCGCGACTCCCCCCTCTCTTATCGGTGTGCCCCGGGCGCCAAACCGCGACACCGCTCGCGCTGCTGGTGCTGCTACCGCCACGTCCACTCAGGTGCTGTGCCTCGACCGCGCCGCGGGCCGCGGACGGCTCGTTAGCGAAAGTGGATGGCGGCGCACAAAGCCACTCACTTAGCGGAGTCGGTTCTTTCTCTCTTTCGGGCGCCCCTCCCTCTCCTTTTCCCTCTCTCTCTCTCTCTCTCTCTCTCTCTCCTCTCTCTGACTAGTCTTTTTGCCGGCCCTCTACTTCAAATGTATTGGCGGTGCACTCGGTGTTGTGAGAGCGGAAAAATCTCCAGCACACCAATTACGCACGCTACAAACGCTTCCGTGGTAGATAGGCCGATCTTTTCCTTTCGGTTCAAGGTGGGCCATTTAAGCTGAGGGGCGTCGATGCGCGGAAGGAGGTACAAAATGTTGCTGCCACCAGAAGACCGCGGGGGGGAGGCGGCCAAAATTCCACACGCTTTTTTGAACTGCAGAGTTACTGAATGGGACTCGAACCGAAAGCTTAGGAATACCACTGCCTTTTGGATTTACAGTGCACTCACGGCGTTGTCGGTTTGTGTTGCAGGCGCTGCTGCAGGCGCACGATGTGGCCGCCCACGAGGTGTACGGCGAGGACGCGGTGCGCGTCACGCCGCCCCCCATGAACCTGCCCTACCTCAACGGCGAGGGCGACGAGCTGGAGGGCGAGGACGGCGACGACCCGGCCCTGGACAATGTGACGAGGGTGCGGCTCGTGCAGTTCCAGAAGAACACGGACGAGCCCATGGTGAGCGAACTGCAGTCCACAGTGGGCTAGGAGACCGGCGCCGGCGGTCGAAACTCTGGACGCGTTTTGAGCTCCAGAGTCGCAAATTGGGACTCGAACCGAGCGCGTGACCCCACCAATCGATTCCTAGTTGGAAGAGCAATCCATTGATGGGGTCGCACGTTCTGCTCGAGGCTACTTGTAGCGACGCTGGAGATCAAAACCCGTCCGGGATTTTGACCGCCTCCGCCGCCGGTCCTCTGGTCCACTGTGCAGCGGGGCAACTGAAATACACTGGTGAAATCAGCGCAGTTCTACGCTTCATTTAAGCATGGAACTGCACTTGAAGACGTAACGCCCTTCTTGAAGTGTGCAAGGCAAGTCCCGCCATGCGAGACCGGAAGGAAGGCTAGAGCGCATGGCCTCTTTTATTTACGCTTCAAAAAAGGCTGTAACTCTTCACGAAAGGTGGAAATGTTACGCCGCAGTTCTACCTGTGCATCAGTTGCCTCAAGGACGTGGTGCTATGTTACACTCCGGTGGCTGCGTTTTGTTTGGGTTTGGGAGTGGCAAAGTGCTTGACGGCGTTGGGTGCGGTCTGGTGTTGCAGGGCATCACGCTCAAGATGAACGAGGACGGCAAGTGCATCGTGGCGCGGATAATGCATGGCGGCATGATCCACCGGCAGGCCACGCTGCACGTCGGCGACGAGATCAGGGAGATCAACGGCCTGCCCGTGGCCAACCAGTCCGTCAGCTCGCTGCAGAAGATCCTGGTGCGTACCACTCCAAAGTCACAGTGGGCCGCGGTCAAAAATTCCAGACTTCTTTTGAGCTCCAGAGTCGCTACATGGGACTCGAATCGAACGTGTGACCCCATCCATGGATTGCACTTCGAACGAGGAATCCATAGGCAGGGTCACACGTTCGGTTCGAGTCCTGTTAAGCGACTCTAGAGCTCAAAAGAAGTCTGGATTGGCCGCCTCCACCGGCCTTCTGGCCCAGTGTGCAAGTGTGGAGTGCAAATGAATGTGACAGGTTGTGACGTCACGCTCGTGAGGTTGCCTGTTGACACTGCCTAATGTTTGTTGTTGTTGTTGCAGCGGGAAGCACGTGGGTCCGTGACGTTCAAGATAGTGCCGTCGTATCGCAGTGCACCACCGCCCTGCGAGGTACGGTCTCTGCGTCACGTCGTGGGATGATGGGAAGGCCACTCCTCCCGATCCAATCGAACGTCACTCACTTCCCTTGTCCTTTCCTGTTTCACTGTCATGGGAGGGTGGCCGGTGTTTTCTTAACTCAGTACTAATATTGAAAGTCCTGTGTGAAATACCGTTTTAATTTCTTTTATCCCTTCTTTTAACACGGTATTATGGGGCTTCTTGAATCTTGCTTTTCAACCTCTAACGTTCTCACCTCGGGATTTCGTTTCACTCATTGGTACTATGATTGCTTACACATGTTACACGTTCTGTGTCCTAACGCTTTTTCTCCCTTCATGTTGTTTAGTGAATACGTTTGCGACTCTGCTGATTGTAAAATGTGGAAAGAGAGCGTCCAAATATCCATTTTGATGATATGCAGCTGGTTTTGTGCTTCGTGTGTGTTGTGTCGTGTCGCGCTCGATTCACTCCACTCTCGTATTTCGGTTTCTCCTCATGGGCCGGAGGAAAATCGAAGCGCGTGTCGTGAGTCGAGTGCCCTGTCGTGTTTTAATTGGCTTTCTTTTCAGTCCTTCCGATCGACCTGCATGCATGACCCATTAGATTCTACCACGTGCATGACTCCACGCACCAAAACGACCAACGACTACCAATTTTGCTCCGTGCTGCGATCGGCACTGACCACTCGGCAGCGCTGCAAAATGGCCGAACAAAGTGTCGGGACACACAATCATAGCGATAATTTTTTTTTAGTGGAACGGGCAACGGAGGGCAGCAGAAAAAGCAGAAATAGGAAGTTGAAACTAATTACAGCACCGTTGACTCGTGGAGGCCACTCCGACTGCCAGCTCCGGCAGCCCTGCATTCAAAACTTCAGCTCACAGAGAATGAAACTGAAGAAATAAAAAAAAGAACAACCGAAGCCATGAATGGTCGGCCCTTACCCAATTCGTCGCCGGAATATTCATTCAGCGAATCCTAGTTGAATTATTCAGGCGGCACGTTTCTGATTGTTAACACGCGGTGCAATTGGGAGCCGTCTGATAGCGATGGGTCGGGGGGGTAATACAATTGGCCAGCCTACAGAATGCGGGGCCGGCCTCAATTCCGTAATCCCGCGGGAGCAGGAGGGGGGGGGGGGATCGAAGGGATGATTGCTTCCGCATTCAGACGTGTGTTGTTTGTCTCCCACAGAGAGAGAGAGAGAGAGAGAGAGAGAGAGAGAGAGAGAGAGAGAGAGAGAGGCCCAGTGGATGGTTCTTCCCTGCCAGCGAACGGCTGCTCTTACAATGGCTGACGGGATAAGATTATTAGCTTCTCATTCAATTCGCCCGTCCGTGATTCCGACAGAGCGCAGGGGGCGCCAGGTAGGATCCGATGATAATATTGTGAGCCCGCGGTGAAGAGGCATTAGTTCGAACAGGGAGAGAAAAGGGGGGAGGTGGGAGGGGGCGTCAATGCATTATTGTCTCGCCACTCTGCAAGCGGTGATGAGGGAAAGCACTGGTGTGGTGTGATAGTGACGTGCAACGAGCCCACCGTCCTTAGAAAGTTGCCTGTTTTCTTCATTTCCTTTTCAATTTTAGTTTCTCTCTTTTAACCATGGAGGAAAAAATAAGATGGTGAAGGCATCATCTGCGTGCTTTGAATTGCGAAGGACATACGAAGCAATTCTTAAATTTCTTTGTAGTGCGCGTCGGGAAGGTGCAGCCCCCCTCTCTTCTCTCTCTCTCTCTCTCTCTCTCTCTCTCTCACACACACACACACACGTCGCGCAGCGTCTCCGAACGAAACGACCAAGAAGGGGGAACAGGGCCAAGTGGGGGATTGGGTTTGGGCTGTCCGCCGCCGTTCCGACGCAGATTTTCTCGGCAATGCATTGGGATGGGTTGGGGTGCTGCTGGCTCCGGCAAGGCACGGCACGGCGCGGCACGGCGCGGCACGGCGCGACGAGGCCCCGGCCACACCGTCGGCCCATAGTGAGATTCTATCAGCCGGATGTGCCGTTCTGCAGAGTTATGGCGCGGCCGGCATAGATAGATGGATAGATGTGGAATCGGCAGGCGGGCCGGTAGGATACGCAAACGGGGGAACGGGCAAACGCGCAGAGTGACGCCATCCTCTCCGCCGGCCTCGTTCAACGTGCTGACCTGTGACAGTGGCGTAGCCGTGTGGCTGGGTGGCTGGGGGGGGGGGTAATGTAATATGCGAGGGCTAGAAGACCGGGGCAGGCGGCCAAAATTCTAGACGGATTAAGGTGCGACGACGTCTGGGCCCCAAACTGCAGAAAACGCTGCGCACCCCTGGCACTGTGCAGGGTAGCGGTTGGATGGGTTGGGCGGGGCGCCGCTGTCGGGTCAGAGCACTGGCAGCACACCACTGGTATTGCCCCCCGAAGTTTGAGGGACGCGGGAAGTACCTGGGAGGGGCATGCATCGGTTTGCTGGGCACGCTGGAGCCCGGAAGGGTGGTAGGACCGCAGGCGGTACACAGTGGCCAGAAGATCGGTGCAGGGGGCTTCAGCTCCATGGAGAGTCGCAAAATCACTAAGTGAGACTCGAACCGAATTTGTGCCCCCACCAATGGATCACTCTCTGAACGAGGAATCCATTGGTGGGGTCACACGTTCTGTTCGAGTCCCATTTAGCGACTCTGGATCTCAAAACATGTCCAGGATTTTGACCGCCTCCACCGGTCTTCTGGCCCACTGTGCGGTTAGTGCCACAGGCCGCAGGGCGGTAGGGCCAGCAAGGGCCACAGGGAGGTAGGTCGGAGGTAGAGTCGCTGCGGGTGCGGGGCCGCAGAGCTGGCGTCGGAGTGGTCGACCGCACAATCGTGCTCCCCTCCGTGTTGTGGGACCGCATGCACACCCTCACGCTTCACCACAGTGTCCCCGTAGTTAGCGTCTGACTGGTTCACGACGGGTCCCCGAGGCCCCTAGCGCCGGGGTCCCCACTCCACACGCCGCGACGGACCGAGTAGCTAAAACGAGTGCAGCGGCCCACGGTGGGGCAGGAGACGGGGCGAGGCCATTCGCGAGTTACGTAATTCCGTTTATTTTCTCCACTCGCTCGAAACCTCACGAAATATTTTAGTCCTTTCAAGGACTAAGTAGCTTGTTTTACCGACGTATTCGTGGAAAATGCCAGTCTTTTATAGCGATGGAAACGTCATTCTCGATTTCCTTTGAGGGACAAGCTTAAAACGAGTCCGGAGTGTGCGGTCTCCTCGTCTTCCGGCCCACCGTGCGCGCGTTGCGACGGACGACGCTCGACTCAAGTAGTCTCACCTAAATACAGTGTGCTTCCGCTCTAAATCGATCTGCCTGGGCGAGGCAGTCGCACGGCCACGTTGGTCTCCTTTTGTTTGTTTTTTTCTTTTTGTTTTGTGCGCGGGCAAGTGATTCCCGCGATGGGTTAAATCCTTCTCCAGAAAGAAAAAACAACTCCCTTCCTCTTCTCGTTTTCGTTTTTCAAAGCCCCCCGGCTTGAACATGTCGAATGTTTCCGCAAGGTTTTCGAGGCGGCCGATCGGGGCGCGGCCACGTGAGTCCGAGCAGCAGACCGACTCGGAATGGTCGCCTCGCCGCTCCGTCTCAGTCGCACCCACGGGGCGTCCCGGGGGGTGCGAGAGAGACAGCGACGCTCGTTCGGAACCGCTCGGCCGGATCAGTGTGCGGCGTCCCGCGCGGAGCACTTGGGCCCGTGGGGACCGTCCCTTATTTGTTGTCAGAGTAAATCCGGGTGGGTCCACCAACCCCCGTCTTCGTGGCCAATCCGCACTCCCTCGCCCGGAGCCAGTTAAATAAACATCAAAGAGGGCTAACTCTGTGTTATTGCTCTGTCACTGTGCGAGAGGGACAGGAGGTGCCCTCCAGGGAGAGGCAGGGCATGACTACTAGGCGACACTACTCACCGCATTCTTTGCTACGCTCTTCATTCGTTGGTGGCAAAAGATTTTGGTGAAAATGCGGACAATTTGCTTTTGTAAGTCGTTAGGGGTACCAATAACGTCCTGATGGTTTAAGGAGAGGTCCGGCGAGTTGGGCAATTTGTTACATGAAGGGTGATTCGAGACAGTCAATCTGATAGACTTTGTGACTGCTCATAGTAACTGAACCTTCCGCATGGTTGAGGTTCTAGGCATGTCCTAGTAATGCCTGAAAACAACTGTTCCAAATTGCCCTTGAGTAACCCCGGTCTCAAAGGATGATTGTGTAACAAAACGCTCAACGATGTTGAGAGAGTGTGCCAGCTTCATATTCCACTTAAAATTCCATTCCTTGTACGTGGCCTCGCACGATTTGAATTGAGGCGGTTTGCCCTACTCTCTGTGGTGGACATTATCTGTCTCTCTCGCACATCGGTGGCTCGGCACCCCATGAGAGTTTGCCCCTCTGATAAATCTGGTCTAAACTTGGTGGAGACGGCTTGCCGTATGTGCACTGGTGAGCAAAGGGTGCTGGCCAAGGCACAACTCGCGCACAACAGTGCCGATTTCTTCTAATGAAAAAACTTAGAAAAGTGCAAAACTCTTTTCATCCTTTCAAAATTCCTACGACAGTTCACACCATTCGCTCACCTACACATCGGCAGAACACGCCGTTTCCAAGCAGTTTTGTTGTCTTGGTTGCTTCAGGCAATCAAACGTATTAATGCAACATTGCACCTTTCTCTCTGTTCGGACGAATCTAGTTATTCAGGATAAAGCCCCCACCAGTCTTAGTAAGTACCCACTACCCCATACGTGTCATTTTTTTGACGTTGGTGGCTGTTTTGTGGTTGTAGTTTTAAAGCCTGACCAAAGATCTGTGTTCAACACCCTCCCCCTTTGTTGCATGAGGGTCTTGCCATGTTCATGCACAAAATGCCATGCCGACGAGTTAAACCTAAAGCAATCTTTGACACAATTATCCTTAACACCCTGAAATCAGTCTTGATAAAATAAAGTATTGCATCCAAATGAAAAGATTCGAACAGAGTATCCTTATCCCTTTTCTGCGAGCATTTTCTGAAGTAATTTGTACAAACTCGACACAATGTCGCTTCACAGGTTGTCTCTCGAATCTCGATGTAGCGCGAAAGGGTGGCGAACAACCAGGGCCCCTACCCGGCTGGTCTGGGCCGGCAAACTTACTGTCTATGCTTCCTCTTGTACTGCAGCACTAAACTTTGCCCTTATAGGATCTAAAAACCCAATTAGTTCCTAGATTAAACCAAATCTTTTCAATTAAAGCCTCAGTTCACCGCAGTAGAAATAAATCATGTACAAACTGTACAAATATTAAACAAATCGTCTAGTTCTAATTTTTTAACGCTCTATCCTGCTCACTTAGCTGAAAATCATTTTGGTGATCTAATGTCTAATACGTTTCATGGCACCCAGTCACAAATTGAAAACAATCTAGATTTTTACCAACAATTTCCCGAAGGCAAGGGTTCTTTTTTTAACAAAATACTATGTCAAGCCTTTTGCGATGTAAATCACAATTTTTACAAGACATTGACTTGTATCTTTTTGTAACTCTCGGCCCGATGCGGTTACAAAAGGAAAGAAAGTACATCAGCAGAACTGTTGCCTTCGGGAAGCGCAATTAGACTGCATGATAATAAGTGTGAGTCCAAAAAGTGAGTAGACCGCCTGATGGACAATGCTTGGGGCGAGCCACGTGGAAGGGCAGAACCTGAAATCGTTGCCGATCCGAAGGCATGGCCAAATCATTGGAATCGTAGCTTCTGCTGCGCTTTGTTGAGGCAGTGTAGTATGTGTTGTACTTAGACCTAAGATGCTGCTGAGTTATTTGTGTTGTCACGATGTTGGGTGTGTCCCGTGTCTCTGTAAATTTTCATTGGATCACAACTAACCAGCTGCATAGGCTCACATGGTCAAATCAAATGGATATGGACGAAACAGCTGCAATGTGGCACCATTTTAGCAGCCACAATAGAAGCGCTCTCAGTTCAAACTGATGGTTATATTGTATCAGCAGTATTAGCAGTGTCGCAAAACCAAAACTTATGATAACATAATGGCGAATGTTAGTGACCCTTATTGCTTATGTTGACCGGCTGCAGGGCTCCACCTCGACGTGTCACGGCCAGTATTGCAAAGAAGTAAGTTCGTCCCCTCTCTCTCAGCGGCACTCCTCCAGAGTGCGTTCTCTCTTATTTTGTGGCTCTGTACGATTGCATATCCTCGCTGCTGTCGTCTGGTAAGTCCGGGTCTTCATTACTTGTCTCTGCGAGGGCGGCCATGGCTTTCCCGCGGCTTGCATCTCCACTGGTAGAACTGAAACGCACTGTTACGCCCTTCTTCGAGCGTAGTGGTTGCTACGCTTGAAGTCAAGCGTAGCAACACTCCGTTCCGCACCTCCTTCACCTGTCTGGAAACGCAGGGACGAATTTCTTCCCCACGCATGACTTTGAACGTGTCAACTTTGAATATGTGAATGAAGCGCGTACGGTTCAGTTTTACCAGTGTCGATTGTTCGCAGGCACCATGGGTAACTATACTGAGCGGCGGGCGTGAGATATTGTGGCGAGTGCCTCGACCTTGTTGGAGGCGCGGGCGTTAACATGTCTTAGTTCCGAAATCCGTTCCGAAAGTTAGCACCGTTTGCCGCCACCCTGCGAGGCCTGACGTAGATTTAGCCGTTTAACGCCACACCTGTTTCCCAGGGATTTGCCAAAGTTTCCCTCAAGAGGAACGCTGATAACTCCTCTCCTCGTCGGCTACCCACAGCGTCGTGGTTAAAGGGACGACGGGAAGGGGTATGACGGGCGACTATTTTTACTTTTTTTCTGTTTTAAACCTTCCGACCCCGGGGAAATTTCACGCGACTACATGTGCGCCGCGCCAGGCAAGGGGGCCGTTGGTAATCCAGACTCAGGTCACTGCACACCTAATTACAGGGAAGGCGGCTGGACGGACGCGTCTCCTCTACACACACACACACACACACACACACACACACACACACACACACACACACATATATATATAGCTTGGTTTGCCTAACAAGCTCCTCCAGCCCGGCCTCCGGGGACGCACACACGGGCACACGGACACGGAGCCCCCATTGATTGCGTTAGAGGGCGCCCTGAAGGGTGAGGTAGGAAGGGGAGGCGCCTTCACCATATCAGGCGTGCACACCCGTGAAGAGAGTGAAGGGTAACGCGGGGGCTGCAAAGTGTGTCGGTGGGGGGAGTGAGAAAGATAATCTCTGAACATGATGCCCTGCCTAATGACTGGCGGGTGGATGGGGCGCTCTCCCGGGGCGGCACACTGAGCGCCACACTAGATGGCACGGAGGGGGTGGGTGCAGTCGGTTTGATCCCAGGGGCGGCGGCAAACGCGGAAAATCGAATTGTGAGGGACCGGGACGTGACCAGACCACCGCGCTGTCATGGGAACTGCGGCACTGGGAACTGTGGAGGGGAGAAAAATATGGCAAAACCGGTTCCAGGGTTTCCCAGGCACTCCGTGGAAATTGCCTATGACTTTACTACGGGCAACTTTGGAAATCCAAGAACCGTTTTTGCCGTGCTCTCTTCCTATACTGAAAGAAGGCCGACGAAGCATCGCTTCGAATACGAAGGCATTTTAAAATCTATGAAAGACTGTTTCGTATTACGGAGCAAATTTCTGTTAAATAAAAAGCAGCCTTTGTGATACAAAGACATACGCCTTGCCTTTTTTTCGAAGTTGCGAAGCATACTTTTCGTGGGCGTTTTACAGAACAGGCCAAAAAGTACTCGGAAGAAACAAAACAGGCAGATTTTGCATCTCGTATATGAATTTAGCAACCAAGATCATCTTATGAGATCTCACTAATCCTGTGAAACGGGATTTCCATAACTGTATGGAGGTGCCTTACGATGTTCTGAGATCTCTCAAGATCTTCAGAGATTTTTTCAGTTCTGCAGAGATATTGCTAAATTCTGCAAGGGCCTCATTTTTAACGATATCCGAAATCGGCCCATTACATTTCTTCCGAGATTTTTAGAGCCGGGTATTTGGGTCCCTGCTGGTGTATGGTGAGTACCGTGCATGAATCGTCGGCCATGAATAATTCATTTGGTGCACTACGTTTTCTTCACCCTTCCTTCTGTTCTATCCGGTTGCATATATTTAGTTTGACGGTCATGATGTCGGAAGGTGAGTGTAAAGTAGATCATTTCTGGATGTAAATATATGTGCATCGTGTGTGTGCGCGTGTACGTGTGTGTATCTGTGTGTGACTGCGGGTGTCTTCGGGTACGGTGTTTTGAACCGCGAGTGGACTTTGTGTGTGGAAGTGGTATTGTTCGTTCCGCTTCGGGCCCCCGCAAAGTCTTTAGTAATACGAAGGCATTGTAATCTTCGAAGAAATGCTTCCGTCGTTTGTTACTCGAAGCATTTTTTCACACTCTTAAAATCTTCAAAATTATTGAAGTTCATTATTCAAAGAAAAGTACCTAGTCAGACCAAAGTAATATTTCTAGTACGCATAATCTTACGAAGACAATACTTCCGAATTTACGAACTTTTCGAGGTACGAAGTCGATAGTTCGTACATTTCACTTCCTTAAAATACTTCGTAACGTTTTAAGCGTGGCATTACACGAAGCAGCCACGCCTTCATTACCTTCGTCGCTGCTAGACTGCCTTTTTCACCAAGTGCTTTTTCGTCGAACTAGAATAAAGGGCGACTCCAATATGGCGGCCTCGCGTCTGCCTCCGCTGACAGTCGACCCGTCACCGGCAGCGTCTCTGGGAGAGTCCCGCGCTAAGGAGGACCTTGTCAGTCCCGGGCGCCGCGTCCGCCGCGTCAACGGATCCAATTTTCTGGCTTTTCAACTTCAAGTCCGTTCCGCGACTTGTGCTGTAAATTTGGAAGAGAGCGCTCTGGAGGCACCGACGTCCCAGCGACACACAGTCTGACGGTCGCCTCGTCTCCTTGCAGATCTTCGTGCGCGCGCAGTTCGACTACGACCCCTTGGAGGACGACATCATCCCCTGCGCCCAGGCCGGCATCGCCTTCAAGGTCGGCGACATCCTCCAGGTGAGACTCTACACCGTGTGGTGCGCCGGGTGTGGACAACTCCACACTTGAAATGCGGAGGAGTCGAGAATTTGCAGTCTCTGCACTTGGAAGTGCAGAGTTTGGAGTCTCCTCACTTCAAGTGTGAAGTACGCTACGTTTGTATCTTGCCTGTGAGCGCTGTGAGCTACTCCTCACTCGAAGTGAGGAGATTGCAAACTCCACACTGATAAGTACTCCTCACCAGAAAGGTGAAGTTCCCCACACCTGGTTTGACAGCGCACGTTCACCAATCTGCCCGTCTCAGGGCGGATGCAAATTTGTTGGCTGTGTGCGTGAGGAGGAAGGAGGCAGGAGGAAGGTGGCCCAGCTGGGCTGGGACTGCACAAGGTGATCTAAAAGCGATGAGATGCTGATCTGGCGGCGAATAGTAATTTGAAATAATGGGCCTGGCCCCCGGCTGGTCTTCGGGCTCCCCTCGGGACACGTCTGCGTGGCCGTCGGGAGGCTTTCGGGAGGCTCTCGGCAGCCCCGCGGGAGGAGCTAGCGCCGCTAGCGCGCTCAGTCCGATCGAGGTTGTGGAGGCCCCGCGCCCCGCCCGCGTCCACTGCCCATAGTTTCAAATTCATTATTCGGATCGAATGCGCGTTCCGAATCCCCGCCGACGCTGACGCTCCCTTCCGGGCAAGAACTGCACTGAAAACCTGGGTGTGTTCCGAGTACACAATTTTAGAAAGTACTCACAGTGCGGAAGTGTCCACAGTTTCCGGTTAAAACTCCCAGTCTCAAATCATTTTCTAACTTCGAAACGTTCCCGTTGTTACGGTCTAATACTCACAAAACTAAGCGAAACGGATCAAAACCGTCAACTGCGTTGCAGATCATCAACAAGGAGGACCACAACTGGTGGCAGGCCCGCAAGGACTGTTCCGGTGGATCAGCTGGCCTGGTCCCGTCCCCGGAGCTGCAGGAGTGGAGGGCGGCCTGCTCCGCCGTGGAAAAGAGCAAGCACGAACAAGGTAATCTTATTTCGAGTGTTGCCGTTCTTTGTTTTCGTTGTTTTGTTGTTTTTCTCTGGCGCGGTACGTCCAGCGCTCTTCGTGTGCTGGTGCTCCTCTTTTCATTAACGCTGAAAACATCCCTGACAATCTTAGGTGCCTTTGCACACTTTCCTTCAAGATTCATGACGCACAGTGGGCCAGAAGACCGGTGGGGGCGGCCAAAATTCTAAATGCGTTTTGAGCTCTAGAGTCGCTAAACAGGACTTGAACCGAACGTTTCACCCCACTAATTTCTCGCACGGAGAGCAATCCATTGGCACGGTCAAACGTTCGGTTCGAGTCCCACATAGAGACTCTGGGGCTCAAAACGCGTCCGGGATTGTGATCACCCCTACCGGTCTTCTGGCGCACTGTGCGGCGCAGAAAAGGCTCGCTGGAGTGGTGGAATGATTGTCAGTTTGCGTCCAGAAAAGTAAAGGATACTTCCCTGGCGCATTGAATAATCGGTATGGTTTTGTGCTGCTTTAGAAAGATTGGAAAGTTTTCTAAAGCCGTTAAAATTTGAGTCATTTTTTTTTCGGAAGGGTCGCATTGCCAAAGCCGCACAGCATGTTTCATATTTTGAACTACGTTCACGTTCATCTAGAAGCTATATTCCAACAGTGTTCGTTAGCTCATCCATTTCTTTTTCTCATACCAATATTTTTGTGGACATCTGGTGATGGCGAATGAAGTCTCATGAAACGATGCGAAGCGCCTCGGAAACGGAAATCTTTTGTTGCTTTACGCAGCGGTCGCGCGGTGCTATCTTTTCTTTCGAGTCGCTTCCATTTGCAGGAAATTTTGCTGTAATGTCTTACTGTTTGCTGACATGCATTTTCGGGCAACACGAAAGTGTTCTACGAGTATCGCAGTCTCATAGAATGTAGTGGCAGCGAGGACAAACCACGCACAGGTCATCCTCCAAGTTGTGGCTGATTTTGTTTTTGGATGACGCGTGCTGGTTTTCCCTGTGAATGCATAGAGTGCATGGCACACTGCGGCTGCGACTTTGCTTGCCGAGTTTTCCGACCGCGTATTCAGAGCTTGCACACTTTGTCAATCATGAACCTTCCAAGAGACAAATGAAATTGGTGTCAATAAAAGTAACTTTCTTGTATTTCTTGAGAAAAATATTTTGAATTTTTTTTTTCGAGATCCAGACCTAATTTTTTGTCACGCCCCAGTTTTGATGCGTTAGATCCTTGTCAGACGTTTGCTTTGTAGCCTTTTCGGTTTTCTCGTTGATTAGATACGTTGAATTTGTGATCGTTCCTCGTAAGCTCTGTGTGTACACATGTATTGACTTTGTAATTCCTATCGTGTATGTTCCAGAGTACGGTGTGGGTTTGTCTCTTTGTTTGTGTGCGCGTGTGTGTGTGTTTGTCAGTGACTTGCATATGCTCGAGACACTACCCACCACTAACAAGCCCATTGCAGCACTAACGCCAATCTGTCCTTTCTCACCAAACCAAGTGCAACACGCAGTCTTTGGATCAGAACTTCTAGATGCACTCGTTTCCAACCGGAGTAGCTGCACACATACACACTGCACTGTCACGTATTCCACGAGATGGCCTGGGATTCTTATTAGACTCGAAAGGGAAATTGACCGTCTTTTCTCGGGAAGGTTCTACACCTTTGCAAAGGCCGTAGGGGCAGGAGGTAGGGTGGCGATGGTAGCAAGACTGTTCCGCTTTGCTCGTTGACTCCGTCCACAAGGCATTCGTCAAAGCGCCACCTTACCTGGCCTGGGGGTCCTGTGAACTGGGACGACCGCTTTGAATCTCTGAATGGCGGTGATTACAGTGGATGTGCCGAGAATGAGCGAAGGCCCAGTACCGCGCGTACCGCGGTGGGAGGGGGAGGGGAGGGGCGTCATGGGGAAGGGCCTACGTCCCAAATCTATGCGGTTCTTTATCGAACTTCTTATGGCAGCACAAAACGACAAATTTTAATCTAAAGGCGCACATTTTAGGGGTTAAGTGGTTGGGGTCTCGTTCCATGCTCCTTCCTTACTTCTGACCTGAAGTAAAGATAAAGAAACAGCAAATAAAGTCAAGTTACTCTGAATGTCTGGTTGCAGAGTCTTCTCACCTCGATTACAGAACAATCATAAGAGCCTAGCTGCCCCCCAAGAAGTTTCCTTTGAAACATTTTCCTGTGACAAATAAACACTGTTATAAATTAAAAACCATGCCACACCTCAAAAAAGGTACATTAGAAGAGGTCATAAAACGTGGAAAGAGTCAATCATTGCTGTCGCTATGCTTGGCTGGTGCCTCCTCACCGGAGAGGCTGCAAGTTTACAGACAAAGGGCCCATTAGATGCCCCTGGAAGGCCCCCCTTTTTTGGCCCCCCTACGGGGTTTGGCCGAGAGGGATGAGAACCTAGAGCGCCTATGGGGTGTCGTTCCAGCAGGCCTGGTTGAATCGAACTTTAAGTCCCGTTCTTTGGGAGGGAAGGCCACACCACTGGCCATCATCACATGCACCACACTAAAGCCTCGGAAATATGTTTGTCCAGAAAAAGGTACCGGTCCCGGGTGCGCGTCGCACAGAGACGGCTGTGACAGCTCTTCAGGTATCTAAAAAAAACAAATCTCACAGCGCCAGCGCAAACGATATCGCCAAAAAAACTCCTCTCGCAGTGCAGCCCCTACCTCAATGTTGTTTTTTTGTGGCCGCTTTTTAATGTTTATAGATTAACTTTGCCTTTTTCTGTCCAATAAGAACTCACCGGTAAAACGAAAGCGTTGTTTCACGCCTCTTTCAAGCGTAGAACTACGCTTGCAGCTTACAACTAGGCTTTAAGGAAATTTGCCCCATGCATTTAGACAAGCCCTTGTGCGCTTTAAGAAAGGCGCGCGGATTGTACGCTTAATATGAAAGCGTACACGTAATGTTACGCCTTAGTTTTACCGGTGAAATTATGGATTACGTACATTTATTTCTCATTGGCTTCCCCGCTGCTTTACCCAAGAACAGTCAACTCCGTGTTACCGAGACTGTTTTCTTTAGCCCACTTAAGTTTGAGGGACGGGCTGTACCTGCTTGATTCTAAATAGTTGCTTAAAACCCATGTAAACAGCTCATATTTTTCAGTAGAGACTTTAAAATTTCGTAGTTTTATTCGTGCTAAAACAAAGTGCATACACTTGCTCATTTCAATCGGTTCGTAGTGCTCTCGAGTATGCTAATTTTAAAAATAAAAAGTTAAAAATTACTTATGACTGAACTCAGTTTTAGAGAAACTGAACTCTGGCAATAGTGAAAGTTAATTATTCTTTGAACGACTTAAATTAAAAATTGGTTTTGTGAAAAGTTAGATCCCTTAAAAACCTCCATGTAGAAAACTAACAGTAGAGTATGCAACATGTGTATAAAGTACTTTGTAGAGTATGTTCTGTATGTGTGTGGAGCTGATAAAAGTCATCATCTCTAATGCATTAAGCAGCTCATGCGCTGTTCTGTAGAAATGACTTTTAACCAGCTTGTACGTGGCTTTACTATTTCATAGTGACTTTGTGTTCCAGGTAGAGTAGGAAGTGCTTTCGAGTATAAATCCTTAGCTGCACTCCTTCAACCATTGACACTCTACTATGAAAACTCTCCTTCCGTTTTTGTCATTGCTTTTTCAAACGCTTCCCAACAAGAATGTGCATTACTTCTCCACGCCCCGTCAAATATTTACATTTGCAGCTTTATTTTTAAATGAATGTGACTGTCACTCAATGAATGTGACCTGACGTTCGTTAGATTTGTGAATCGTGTCATGTTCGTGTGAACATCATGTCACTCGTTCCAACGTGACACGCTAGTCTTGTAATAGTATGTCACATTCATTTGAACGTACATTCACCTTCCACCTGTAACAACACATACAAACGAACGTGACAATTGAGACATCATAATCATGGGAACGTGACACAAGTGCCACATTCTAACGAACGTGCTGTCACGTTCTAAGAATGCCAGTGTGGATGGAACTCTTGATACACTTTGTTTTCCTTCTAAACGCTAACCGGCCCTGTCTTTGTTGTCCAGTGAATTGCTCAATCTTTGGCCGTAAGAAGAAACAGTACAAAGACAAGTACCTGGCAAAACATAATGCAGTATTTGACCAGCTGGATCTGGTCACATATGAAGAAGTAGTAAAATTACCAAGTGAGTCGAGTCGAGCATATTTTTACACAATTGCAAAATGTAATATGTGAAAAAATTCAAATCGCACTGATTTTTTTTTTCTGCGGCAGCATTCCCACGGCGGACGCTGGTGCTCCTCGGCGCGCATGGCGTGGGCAGGCGTCACATCAAGAACACCCTCATCGCCAAGCACCCGGACCAGTACGCCTACCCGATACCTCGTGAGTACCATCACACCATATAACTTGTATCATTTTTGGGAGAGACCTCGTAGATTTTGTTTTAAAGCATGTCGCTATGCCAAGTATACGCCTCCAAAGTGCTATTGCTTACTGAGTACGCACTTGGAAGTGCGTGCCCATTCAAGCACACACATCGAGGCGCGTGCTGAAAAGCATGCGTTTCGAGGAGCTTACTGGGTTCTAAAATTTTGTGTGTAGGGGCTGCGTGGAAACGCCTGCGAAGAGTAGGGTAGGCCAACCCGCCTCGCCGGCGCGTGTGCGTGTTGCCTACCCTGCTATCCTAAGGCTGACACACCAACTCTCTGTTGCAGACACTACCCGGCCGCCAAGGCCAGACGAGGAGAACGGGCGGAATTACTATTTCGTCTCTCACGACGAGATGATGACCGACATCGCCGCCAACGAGTACTTGGAATACGGTATGTAAAGACCCTTAGGCAAAAGCAGAAAATATCAGAGCAGTATTCATACTTTCCTTTAAATCCTTCATGGTCAAATAATCCAATGTCTTCCGAAAACGGTTGAAAACGGGGAGTAACACTACACTGAGAAAGAATGGGTCACCACCATCACCCTTTATATGGGTGATGCAACTTCGTTGCCCAACTTTGGGTGACGAAATCATCACCCTAAATTTGGTAACCGGCGTTAGCTCACCCAAATTTGGGTAACGTCGTCGGCGACGCCGTGAGGTCCCCGATGACCGCTGGCGGTCATCGTGGTGGCCCCGGAAGGACGCCATCGGGGACCTGACGGCGTCGTCGACGTTACCCAAATTTGGGCGACCTAACGCCGGCTACCAAATTTCGGGTGATGAATATTTCGTCACCGACAATTGGGCAACGAAGTTACATCACCCATTTAAAGGGTGATGGTGGCGACCCATTCGTTCTCAGTGTACGCCTAACTTTTACTAGTGTTACATGCCGAGTTTCAGAATTCTGTGTAAGGTTTCCTCGGTGAGGACGGTAAAGTGTGCCTCTTTGCGCAGGGACGCACGAGGACGCCATGTACGGCACCAAGCTGGAGACGATCCGCAAGATCCACCAGGAGGGCCGGGTGGCCATCCTGGACGTGGAGCCCCAGGCCCTCAAGATCCTACGCACGCGCGAGTTCGCGCCCTACGTTGTGTTCATCGCGGCACCGCTGCTCCACAACATGGCTGACGTGAGTATCCACCAATATCAAGTCTAGTATTGTTTTGCGTGTAGTGGCTCGCAGAGTCCCTATCTCAGTTCTAACGTGGAGAAAGAACTCCACACTCGAGGTGCGGAGACTGCTAATTGCGCACGTCCCCATGTGGAGTTCTCCACGCTTGGTTTCACAGCGTGGTCGCAGCCCAGTAACCTTGCCCCTGCCTTGTCCTGCACAGTACGACGGCAGCCTGGAGCGGCTGGCCAAGGAGTCGGACCTGCTGCGCCAGGCGTACGGCCACCTGTTCGACCTGACCATCGTCAACAACGACATCGAGGAGACGATCGCGGCGCTGGAGCGCGCCATCGAGCGCGTGCACTCGACGCCACAATGGATCCCCGTGGCGTGGGTCTACTGACGATAGGCGCCGAGGGGCGGGCTTGCCCACCAGGGCTGCTGGACCACCTTCAAGGAGGAACTCCTGGTGGACGTGGACGACTGCTTCCGCGTCGACTGTTTCTAGTGCAGCAGTGCGAGTGCAGTCGGGACCTCCTGAAACGTCCTGGAACTGCTCCTCTCGCGCACGCGTTGCACCAGGACCAGGAGCTAGTCATTCCTCTGGAGTTTGGGCTGGGCTCATCTCTCCGGCCTCTTGGCGCCTTTTGGCGTAGTGGCGTGGTGGCGCCTTCCAGTGCCTTCCAGTGGCTCGGAAGGCGAAGCATTTCAAAATGCTTCCAGAAAGACAGTTGGACTGTGAGCTGACACACGACCCGTAGATCGGGAGGGTGTCAGAAGAGACTGATAAAGCCATACAAGCAGCCATACCAAACCAACCAGTATTTTAATTGACTTTCAAAGGATCGCAATTGATCGACTTAGTGATATTCGTCCGCGCAGTCTCGGATCGTGGCGTGGATGGGTCGGTGAACGGCATAGAGAGCCGCTACTTTTAATGTTAACTTCGTTGTTGATTTTTTTTTCGGAGGGACCTGTCAAACCATTAAGTCACGGACAAATCAGTGTGACTGTGACTTTGACATAGTTTTCTTAATCAAGCTCAAACTTTCAAAAATGATATCTAGGACAAGAGAGGTGGACCTTCTTTGTCAGCATGTCACCTCTCTACTCCACCCGTTGTTACCACAGTGGTTATCCATGTAGTACTTCCGGTATAGTCAGCAGGAGCTAAGTTGCAGAGGGAAAAAACAGTAAGCACACAAATAAATTTTATATCGGCTCATGTGAAATAAGAGAAGTAGATTTGATAGGGTTTCTCCTAATGGAAAACTTTCAAGAGACTTGAATGAACAACTTTGAGAGTGCTATGTTTTAATGAAAGGATTCCGTAATAAGAAGCTGTTACATATGTAAAACGCACTCTCTTACTTGGAAAATTTATTTCTTCATTGACACAAAATACTCTAAATAATACTGTAAACTGTGCATTTCTTCAAATATTAGCTATTTCAATGACATATTGGTAGTTACAGACCTAATATTTGTGTGATTTTTTAACTGCTCAAATTATTACAGTGATTGGTTAATGTGAGTTTGATTCCTAGAGAAGCTTGTCTTGTTTCCGTGACATGAAATCAAATTGCGTACCAGGCATTTTCTTGAGAGCTTTATGTTGTTTTCTGGACATCACACAGAGTTTAACTTTTACGCCCCTGGTGGTGGAGCCCTCTTTCAGAAATAAGTTCTTTTCTTCCATATTTTTACATTTGATCGTTAATGCTAGACCATTTATCCTAGTCTCGGTTTCTAAAAAGAAAGAACTCACAAAAAATTAAAAAAAAAAAAAAATACCCTGTGTGTCTATACAGGCAACATATCCAATTATTTTGCTCTCAGCCAGTCTGTGCATAAATACATCATGTCCAATGAGTGCAAAGCATTTGCAATTATGCTTAACAACGCTGTCACTCTTGATGAAGTCTTTATGCAATGCAGTTTGTATCTCTAGCAAAAGAGCTCTCATAGACGTCTTTACCTCTTCTTCTTCTTTCCAGATATAGATGGTTGTAGGTCCATTATTTCTGGTTTATAGTTGGGAATTTCACTCTGCTCTATGGCAACTAACATGCCGGAGATTCTTTTGTCAGAAAAAGCAATATTTATAAATAGTTTGTACATCAAGTTATCAGTCATAGCGTTTTTATTATTAATATTGTTACTATGATTATGTTTTTTAGCTTAATGGTCACAAAGAATAAAGATACTTAAGGTTTGCTTGCTGCGAAACAAGCTCGCAGTAATCAAATCAAAATGCTATTTGGAAGTCTTTGCGTTTGCCAGTTTGTTAAAAGGTTACCATCTCAAGAAAGTTTTGTCAAGATGGGGTCCACATTGTTCAGATTATTTAAATGTTATTATTCCAGTCATAGAAAGCCATGGATTGTTATTGGAATTATAGTGAGATTTTTGATATATGTTATGGATTAGGATGAAAAATGTGGATACAAATGTATATTATAAAAGTATGACATCCAAAGTATGAAGAAGTTTTCAATCATGTGGGTATAAGAATATTATACTGTAGTTCAAAAATGTAGCACAAAAGAGCGTATGTGATGTTATATTGTTGAAGTTTTGATATCTTTTCGGCCAAAACATGCGATTTTTATTACAATAGTTAGTGGGTCTCAATTCGCGCTCACAATAGATTTGATCAGAAATGTTGCACAATTTAAAATCATTGCTGCTGTGAGTCACTGTCACAAAGAAATGGAAACGTATCAGTTTCAATTAACTTTTCCTCATTGCATGAAATTTATCACAGTAAAGATGTACCGTTCCAGTCCTTTTTCTTGTTGAGAAGAAAGTGAGTGAGCAAACATTATTGCTTTATTCCATCCAATGTACCACCAGTAGGGCTGAAACGGAGCTACAATTTTAAGCAATGGCAACATTTCCGAGCAGTTCAGAAAGTTAGAAATTTCTTCCCATTAATTAATGTTTTCCTCGACAAACAATGACGTCAATTAGTCAGCCTCAGAGGCTATCAAAAAGAAGCTACTCCTAAAATTTCTGATATTTGAATTATACAACAGATTATGTTGTGCAAATGGTGCCATGTGTTGGCATACCATTCTCTCCATCCTAGTCAATGCTAATTAAACATGCCACCTGAACTTCACAGACACTCAAACTGATGATGTATGTGAAAATATAGTATTGAAAGTGGAAGCATTTGAAAGTGAGCTCTGAAGTGAATAAAGCATGGGTGATTATTGACATTCATCCTCATTTGTACTTCCTTGTATCTTCAATAGAAGTTCTCCACAATTTTTTTTCTCAAGCAATTCAGCCAACTAAACATTCTTAAAAAGGAAAAAAAGTCTAGATGGTTTGTTAAAGTTACCTTCAAAATTGATCAAGGATCAAGCATTGCTTTGTATTTAGAGAGACTGATTCAGACAGTTCGAGATAAATTTAAATTAGTGCTTACCAGCGTAAAAATACAGCCTTGATTCAGAGCTGCCAGGAAACTAAACAAAATTCTCACCTATTTAAATAATTTTGACGGTCTAATTCTCAATGGTTTTTCAATGCAGCTGAGAGTCAACTACCAAACAGTTGCATTTAATGTAGCAAAAGAATGATGTATTGCTTCATTTCTAAACTTGTAAATAAATTTTTTGATTTATTTTCAAATAATGCTGTTTTAATTATTCTTTTGTTCTAAAACTAGGGACCCCACCGTTATCTCAGCTGAAGTGCTAAAAGTCCTGTGACAGCCCCTCTCAAAATAGAAGCTAATTTTTACACAACCAAACCTTTCGCAATTTTAGCAGCATACAGAATTTCATTGAAATTTCCACGCTAAAAATGGCCTTTTTAAAATGAAAACCTTTCTTTTTCTGGGAGCTGAATCTCTCTGCATACAGGCTAACAGGTGAGCCCACTTTGCAATACTCATAAATTCAACAAATCTCAACACCTTTTCAACATTGTTCAACGACACACAACGCAAAGTCCACGGCCACGCGCCACACATCCGCCCCGCAAAACTCCCGTGCGGAGACGTTGGCCTATCCTGCAACCCGCACAGGCGTTAGAATCCTTCATGCCCTTCGGCCCGACCGAACCCCTACAGTGCACACACACCCTTAGGGGTTACTCTGACTACTGGAAGAAAGACGACCCTCTCCAGCCAGGAGGCATCGACGATGTGTCTCACAACACGCAGCCCAGTTCTTCCCCCCCATCCCCCTATCAGATCCGCGCCTGGTGCAGGGGAGTCCTCTGCCTCGTAGTGTAGAGACCAGACCCCTCTCGGCTAGCCACTGTTCATCGTCAAAATTAGGAACAGTACAATTCCACCATTCTTGGGATCTGTCTCGTTTCCACATTCTTAGGTGCCAGCAGCATTGCTTGTGCAAGCCTTACCATCATTCGTCGGGATACTGCAACCACCAACCTCCTCCTTCTTCTTCTATTTTCTCGCATCTTTAAAAGAAGGGCCAAGACACCCTACAAATGCAAAATGTCAAACAAAATGTCAAACAACGAGTCATCAGTGCCACCTAACCTAAACAAGACAAACAATTGTGCTCCGTTCTAGAACATTCCATGTAAATATAGGATACATTACCTGTAAAATCTGAAGGTGCATCATCATCAGTATCACAGCACATACTCTTTTGTCCATGACAAAATGCCTCCGACTTGTTTTTCAGTCATAAACACACCACCACCAGTACGGACGACTCGCAAAAGTTTGAAACAAATAGCAGACGCCGCGCCACGCGCGGGGTGGGGGCGTGTGTATCCACGTGGCAGTGACTATCGACCACTTAGTTCGATAGTATCGATACTCTCTTGTGACCGTAAAGTCCTATACGTATATGACTTTAGTGTTCCACCGCTTGTGTTCCGTGTTTGCAAACAAATCAATTCTAGATTGATGAGGCGGAGTGTGGTACGATCTTTTGAAATATCTGAAGCCCATTCTTCAAGAATCTAACTTAAAAGGAAACCCAATCAGTCCCAGTTTTGACCATCGTCGGCCATCGTCTGCTTGGCCAGGCTCCACCGCGATCAGCTGAGAAAACAAAAACAAAAACAGTGAGCATCCCCCAGCAGAAGCCATAGCTTGCAGACGCTCAATGGCAGCGCTGCAAATCTTTATTTTCTTTCACAGCGCGCTCCACAAGCGGGATTTTTTCCGCCAGTATTCTGTGATTTAGCCTTTCAACGAAAGGGAGTGGGAAAGGTCCAATATGTGGAGCAGAATAAACGTGAGGCAACTCTAGCGTCGGTTGTATCGCCGCACAGTGATGCGCGATCGAATGGCTTGTGACGCTTGAGTAGACACACCTGGTGCCATATCGGGTCAACTACCTACAACCGTAACCATGGTGATAGTTATTACTAGGACGTTTTAATACTGTTTTCAAGCAAACTTCTGCAAGCTGCTTTTCCTCGCACACCCATTGAAAGTGGAAATTTGGCCTACTTCCCTTGAGGTAAGACCATTGTTTACTCAGCCAATGAGGGGGAAGTCTCAACTTCTCCCATACCACTCTCATGATTATCAGCATTCTAAGTGGTTGTTATCTGTTATTTTGTCAGGACAAAGGTGCGAAATAGCTGCATAAGAGAATACTACTGACAGCAGATCATCACCATGAATATTTATGCAGAGCTATGGAGATCAGTGCCGATTTCAAGTTTGTTTTCATTGTGAGTTCCAACAATTTAATGCATTGTTCATAAGTTATCTAATTTATTACAAGCAAGAATGTCAATTGAATTTTTTTTTAAATTCCAGATCTTTGGAGGCTCTAGCTGAATGTCTAGATCCACATGTTGAGCTCCTTCATATTCTTCCAAGAAGTCTCAAAACTAAACTACTTACAATTGCTTGTAAAAGAGGGACATTGACAACACCATCAATCGAGAGTCTCTTGCATTCTGAATTACGGACACTCAATTTGAGTGAATGCAATGTAACAGATGGTATGCTGAAGGCAATTCAAGTTTGTTCACAACTTCGCAAGTTAGATCTAAATCCAGGAAGAAATCAGGACAGAAATCTGAGCAGAGATGGTGAGTGCCTGATTCATTTAAACTTATCTTCTGGATAGTTAATTTCTCTTCTCAACACCTAATCTTTAACACTGATCTGCAGCTCTGCTTTCATTGTGGCCAAGTTTGCCCGTTCTTAAAATTTTGTACTTGCGGCGATGCCCAGGAGTAACAGACGATGTGATAAAAGCCATTGCAGAGAGCTGTCCAAATCTTACTGAACTCGATGTAGGAGGATGCCATGCAATCACAGATGCAGCTCCAGTTGCATTAACCAGAACCTTGACCCATCTCACCTCTCTCAACTTGTCAGGAACTCAAGTAATATAATATGTACACATGCAACATCTGCAATGTAAAAACTGTTATAGCCTGTAAATAATACAAATATTAACCAACTTACAACATCCACAGGTTGGCGATGAGGGTTTATTAGAGTTGGTCCAAGGAAACTGTGGGAAAAGTTTAACTGAATTAAATATAAACCACTGTATGAAAGTGACAGATTTCTCAATCCAGTGCATTGCTCAAAACTGTCGAAATATGAGTATTTTAGTTTTTCAAGGGTGTCCCATATCAGGTAGGTTGTGTCTGCAGCTAATTAAAACTAAGATTAAGTTTCCAAAACCATGAACTGTTATTGATTTTTACCATTAATTTTACATTTATTTGCAGCGGATTCACATTATGCACTTGAAAATATATATGCCGAAGCAAAAGTCAGGCAGCTAGCATGGACAGTATATTGAACAAGTAGATTTTTCCCCCTCCCTCAACCATTTATTAAGTTGACAAGAATCAAGCATGAAAAATAATTACTACTATTAATAATTTTACTTTTCTCACAAATAGTTTGAACCGTTTGAATGGTTCACTGATGCAAAATACATTTCTAGTTGTAGTGACAATTTATTGCCATTTTATTTTTAAAACGTAAGATTAACAAAGTCCTGAAATGTCTATCACAATGCGTTGTCTTCCTCAATCTAGCACCGTGCAGGAATGTGTAAAAATAAAGATCATGATAAACTAGCTTGCATGCCATGACTCATCCTACATCCAAGCCTATTTAAAAGAAATCTTCACAGCATCCTTCACCAAAAATATGTCAAATGTAAAAGTAAATTGTTTTCGCATATTTTACTCTTTAGTTGGTTTACACTGAGTAGTTTTGTTAGATAACTACTGTATTCATTATATGACAAAAAGAAATAAATGTACTCCAGAAGTATTTTCAGACCACTATATTTATCTTTTCATAATTCTCACATTACAAAGCTCAAGACCATACAATAGATTATATACAGACTGCAACTCCAAAGAAACACAGTAGAGCATACTATGATCACAATGTAGAAAATTCTAACAGTTCTGGATCTGCCGTAAAGGAATAACCACATAGTAATAACTACATATGTATTGAATACTTCTTTTGGTACAGAGGACTTTAAAATCAGAATAAAATAAGCAGTATTATCGACAAAAGAAGTTCATTTAAAATAAAAATAATACAGGGTACTTTGGACATGACTGGACTAAGCATCCATAAAAAATAGAATTTCAACTATAACAACCCAGAAACAACTTGCATTATGCAATAATCGTTCCCACAGTAAACACTGTAAAGAATAGCAACAAGAATCTGAAAGGAAAAACCCACACTTTGAATGGTTGACAAAAATTGGTTGAATACTTCAGCAACATTATAAAATTGTGATCCGATATTAACAAAGCACTAGTTCCTAAATAGTGCAAGGAATGTACAAAATTGAATCACATTTCCCGTTATGTTTCCACCGATACATGTTATTAAAACAAAACTTTGCATTTTGACTGGTACATTCATTCAACTACAAATTAAACAATTTCAGCTCAACTGAACCAAAGAAGAACAAATTGGATTCTCTTGGCCTATCCAGTATGGACAAGTATTGAAATTGTTACTATTCACTTATATGACAAATTAAATTGCAATTGCACATTTGAACAACGCACATGATTTCTCAGTTCTCAAAACAACAAGTTCAATTCTCTACCACAAGGTACCATTTGTCAGATACATTGAAAGCAGCAAGAGACACATCAGCACTCACCATTGCCCATGACTGCCATTCAAGACCGTTTGTTGCCAAACCCATTGACTGGCAGAGGATTCTGCTTCAATTGCAGGATAATAGAGCGCATTCGTGACACATCTTTGCTGCCCTTGCTGGCTTTAGGGTTGAAATCGCAGTGCTTAGCGATTCGCTCCCATTCAGTACCCGGCTCAATCTCTTCATCATCTGCTACAAACTGCTTCTCAGCATTTCTGAAACAAAGAAACAACAATTAAATTCTTCATATTTTCATCAAATGTATTAAGAATACCCTTATCTAGATATAAAAACCAGAAAAAAAACAATAAGAGGAAAAAACCAAGACAAACATTATCTGAGGTAGAATAAACATACATCAGAATCCTGAGAACCTCTAAAAGGGCGCAAAAAAGACAAACTGCTTATTTTATATATTTGGGGGGACAGCGACACGAAATCTAATGCTTTGCAGGCTAGGTTAATAGCAGTACTAACTTATCACTGACATGCCTGAGATCAACGTGCGTCGCAATTAGCAACATGCAAGATCTACTCTGCGCAAATATGGTGGATATTAAGAATAAGTCACACTCAACATCTGAGCAACTTGAAACACAGAGGGGAAAAAGGGGCGGGGAGGATTTAGAAATTGCTAACACACAGGGCTCACTTAAACATGGTCTCTGATTTAAATCACAACTAAAATGCATGGCACCTTACAGAGGAATGGATCAAGCATGATACTGTTAAGGCATTGAAGATTTTATTTTAAAAATGCTTCAATGGTATGGCAACTTCAAATTTTAAAACTAAAGAAAGAAAACACAAACAACAGTAACAACACCTTGTTAGTTTACTCACGACATGCGAATCTACATGTATAAAACCCAAGAGCACAATTCAATACATTCACTTGTGGTAGAAGCAACTCAACAGCACAATACAGAACAGTTACTTACATAGCAGATTCACTGAGAATGCATGAAATGGAAATGAAGAGCTAGTGGTTAGTACAAGTTAATGATCACATTGAAGGAGGTGATTGACACAGCTCCATTTTGAAAAGTGGGTTTACCACAGACATAACAAAAAACTAGGGCTTACCGGTTAGCAGATCGAGTTTTGGCGATTAGATCATCATGATGACGGTACCATTCTTCCAGCTCTTTCTTGGCTGCTTCTTGCCATTCTTCTCTCTTCTTTTCCTCATTGGCATCTGTCAAAAGGAAAATCAGAAACTGTTAGAACTGCACTTTAAACGCAACTATAACTTCCCAAATTCCTAAAATCTTACCTTTTTCTTCCAGGCGGGTTTTCTGTTCCTCTCTCCACTTCTTGATCTTTTCAGGTTCTTCGCGCACAAGTGTAGGGCGATGAGCAGGACTGGGACTTTCTGCAAGATGATATTAACATACAGTAAGATTTCATGCCACTGGTACAGGTTATTTCTGAATCTGGATTCCTGACCTCAATTTCAAAACTTTCCCTTGTAAAATACTAAGCCACAAGTTAAATTAAGTCAAGTTCAAATAAAAGTTATTTTGTAGTAAATGCTTTAAATGTTACACTGAAAACATTGGACAATTTGGTACAAGCATGCAACAGACAGCTATGTAGTTAGCAAAATACAAATTTAACAAAAAGGTTTTTCAGAACACAAAAATAAACATGTGCAAAGGCTCTAATTTTTTTGAAAAAAAAAAATTACAGCATTAACGTGGTGTTATGAATTGATGGACACAAAAGCAGGATTTTACTTACCCTCTTCAGCAGGGTCAGCACTGGCAAGCTGATTCTCACTTGGCGCATCACCTTAGAGAGAATGAATGCTTCAAAATTACAAAGCAATACCAATCAAAAAACAAAACTGGTAAGTCATTTGAAGAAACATGCACCTGACATGCTTAGTTACAAAGGACACTCAAGTGCAATAATGCATTGAGCAAAGAAAGTACATGAAGAAAAAAGTGCCTTCAAGATAATACTATCAAGCCAGCATTCAAGCTTCATAAAACTAATGTAAAAAAAATAGTGAGAAGAAACAAGCTGATTGTAAAAAGCGTATCATGTGAGCAGAGCAGAGGCATGGAAGTCCAACTCAAACAAAATGTTAAGACTGCTGAAACTCCTAAGCAAATCTTTGGAGGAGGGTACATTCAATGAGAAACCTCATATTGGTCTTGTATTGAAACATCAATGCAAACTATCAAAACTTTCATTGCATTGTTATCCACATTAAAAAAAAAAACAATTTATTACACTTACCAAAACTATTCTGACCTCCCTCTTGGTTCTGAAAATCATCTTGTACTAGATCCTCCGAGAATAACTCGTTCTTATCTTGCAAAGACTGATCAAATGTATCACCCTCAGGGTCAAATGGTGAAGTCATCATAGTGTGGGAATCAAATGGAGAATTCTTCACATCAGAGGAATCAAGTGGAACCGCTTGAGACTGTCCAAAGCTTGCAAAGGGGTCTTGTTCTTCATCTTGTGCACGGGGCAGACCAAAGGGGTCCTCATCTGAGTCATTAATCAGGACTTTAAACAGGGCTAACAATAGATAATGATGTGACGGTGCAAATTATTATTCATGGACAAGTTTGAATGAAATACCAGAGAATAAGGGGCCTTCTCATAGCCTCATGACCAGACACATGCATAAACAGCACATTCAAGACTACAAATTAATAAGACATCTTACAAAGCAGTTTGATGCCACATCATCACTGTGACATTTTCAAATATGACGTATGCAGGTTGAATAATTAACCCTTTTCTTAAAAAAACATGCAAGTATGCAAGCATTGCCTCTGTTCTCTTGTACGACTCAAGATACCGCTAAGGAGAGGCAGTGTTTGCATGCTAGGGTTTTCGAAATACACCTACAACACATTGAGAATCTAGTGATAGGTCATTAGGGGAAAAGAAGTGCAGAGAAGTGGAAGAAAAGCAGAATGCCATCAGAGCGTGCAATTAAGACTACCACCAGATCATTAGGTGTTGAGGGTAACTATTGAGCAACGGAGAGTGAATCAGGAAAGAACTCAAAATTAAGAGTAAATATTTTGTGAACATAAGACCTGCTCACAGTCAAACTTAAGAAACTTGGAACACATCGACATTTCAATCAGTCAATGGAATGAATCAAAGGGAGAACACAGCACAACGGAAGAAACTATATCAGGGGATTCTTCAAAACTGAAGAATATGAGTGACATGATAATACACTGATTGATCGACAGGAAACACCTAACAAAAACGCAAGCCACAAAGAAAGTGACACCCAACTAACCCTAACCTAAGAGAAATGGAAGAACAGTCCCCAGTCCCAGGTCGACGTATGCGTGCGTACCGTTCGTAATCACGGGGACAGGCGCGGCCGGAGCGGCCGAGATGTCATCGTCCAGGCCGGCCAGTTCATTCTGCTCGCGGGCGATGAATTCTGCCGCTGGGTCCACCTCAGCTTGGTCGAAGTTGTCAGCGAAGCCGTCCATTGCGCCTGGAATTGAAATCAGGTTGAGCGCTCCCTCTCCTTACGTGGTGACGGCGAGGGTACACGGCGAAGAGAAGCAAGAGGCTCCACCGTTCTTACCGACAGGGAGAAGATGGTAGAAACGCGATGGTAGCGAGCAACCTCTGAAGTTCGTCTGACGGTGACACCCACTTTTGAAGTTAACCCAACTCGCAACTCGGCAAATCAGATCTGGCAGATTCTCTGCTGCTGTCAAGTGAACGAAGAGAGGCGGAGGGGGTGGGGTGGGTGGGGATTGGAAAGAAGATGGACGCCGTGGCAGAAACAACTCAAACAAAATTTATCACTCGTCAGAAAGTATTTTTCAGAGGAATGCATGCTTTCAAAAAGAATAATTGTATGTATTTTAATTGTTAAGAAATCTTTAATGCCAAATTTATTTTCAAAATTCTCCCGGAACAGATGCATACCTCTTGTAAGTACAAGATGAATGTTGCCAGCACTGCAGGTGGCGATAGCTTTTTGTTTTCCACTGCGCAGTTCTTCTGCGCATCTTAAAATCCAAACAGTTGTGTGACGAAGATGGCGACGTATGGTTTGTGATTCAAACATGTCGATGATAAGTTTGAGTTACTGTTTTGTGAAAATACCGTATATGCAGTGCCTGAACAATGTCAGAAGGAAAACGAGTTTCGCTGCAGTCTATTGGTCCAGCCAAGAAAGACAAAAAGTGCAAGTCAACATCCACAACTATCCGGTTGAATTTGACTCTCCCCGCTAACAATTCGGACACTTTTGCTGACTTTAATTATAATACTCTGATATTAAACGAAAAAGTGAGTATTTCCGCCTGTGCACTGTTCTTAACTTTTGTGTGTACGTGATTTCAAATTTGTATCGAGTTGCTGGAATGAATGAGGTGCCTGTGACGATCATGACGAAATTGAACTTGGCCTGGAAAGCGTTTGCTGACCGCTATCCTGGCCGCGGGATGGCCCAAACTTGCATTTTGCCTGTCCTATTAATTGCTTTGGGTCGAGGGTGCTAAGGTACTAATCGCACCCCCGCCCGTTCTCTTGGACCCGTGACAAACATGTTGGTCCGTTTGTTGTGGCCCCATTCCTAACCCCCGCTCATTTTTTTCGGTCTCGTCCTGAAAGTCATTGCCGCAATTTCATTGGAAGGTGACTGAATTGCTGCGTGCGAACTGCCCATTGTATGTCGGGGGCGGATTCTCGCTTTGTATCCATTCAATGGCCATGGCATGCTCATTTTTTCGCGGGAGCTCGGGCCGTGCTTCCCCCACCCCCCGCAAGTTCTTTGGTCTTGCCCGTCTTGATGTTGCTAACATATTTGCGACTGGGGCTGTGTGGGGACCCTCTAGAAATGCCGAGTCGATGTCAACCTTGGTGTCCCTCACCCCAGGGCGGAGCGTTTGAGCGGCTGGTGTGGATATCCCAGTGGGCAATCAGCTGGTTTCGGGTGGATGACAGTGAAGTTGAGGTTATAAACATGGGGGACCCATTTCATTTATCAGAGCAGAACGTTGCCTCTGCCCTTTCCTCGTCAGCTCCAGCGCCCGCCGCCTTTCCGGCCGAGGGCGGCCGGCCGACGCGTGCCTTAGGCCCCAGTGCCGGTGTCCTTCCCCTCTGACGCAGAAGCAACGCCTAGGCGCCCAGGCAACGGGGCCGACCTGACCTGCTCTAGGTCGGGTCGGAGGCCGCCGTGCGCCGTGCCTTCCTTTCTCTCTGGCCCTCTGGCTGATCTTGGTCGATCGCCTTGGCGGCGTTGACCTTTTCCGGCGTCCCGATCGACTACCTGACGAAAAAAGTCGTCTGGAGGAAAATTTTCTCTCTCTTGCGTGATGGCCTGCATTTCGGTGAACCGAAATGATTCTACTTTGACGGCAAAATGATGCCGCTGCCCACCGTCCACCCTCCACCCTCGCTCCAGGTCCAGGGACGGCCCAAACCCATATCGCCGTCATCCCTAACCACACCGCACCATGTCCGTTCATCGCTCAGTCCATCCCGTGTCGCAAATGCCACTTCTCCCTCTTCATTCTGCTACGAGAGATGCACCGCCAGCCGAGTGCCGTTCTCTTGCGAATTTGGCCTAGCTGGTGGCTGGCTCTCCGTGCCGCGGTGCCGCGGGGTGAATGGCCGCCCAGCGCAGCACGGCGCAGCTAGCGCAGACGCCCCTTCCCCTTTCTCCTCCTCCCCCGGGGCACGCTGCTGCCGCACTGCCACCCCCACCCCCTCCTGGGCGCCTCGCTGTCTCTTCTCTTCTCCTCTTTCACTGAAAGACACTAGGGCCTGATGGCCTGTCGTCTGTCTAGGATCTTAGGCAGACGTTGCCAAACGGGTTTCCAAAAACGTCACCTAACGTATGGAGAAAACAAATAAATGAAGGGAAGGGGGCAGAGGAGGGAAAGTAATGAAAATTTGTATAAAGTTGACAATATTTGTATGGCTTATCGATTTTTGATTTTTATTCCAGAAAAAGAAAGAGAGAAACAAAGATAAGGATGATAAACTGAATGGGGGGAGCACATTAGATCCTTATGCATCAGATGATGAAGATAATCTACGCCGAATTGCTACTAGTTTTGAATCCAAATATGTGAGTTGTGTTGCTCGTAAGTTACTTTTCATTCAAGCTGGGAGACACATTTATTTCTGTGACAATTTTGTCTTTCAGGGTACACCTAAAAAAAAGTGTCGTCGTTTAGAAGACTACACAGAACTTGGAACAGGATATGATGAAAGTGACTCATTTATTGACAATACTGATGCTGTAAGTTTGTTACATATATTTCAGAGCCGCACTAAAAACTAATCATGTGTACCGTTTGAATTTCTAATTATTTTTTTTCTGTGTACTCTTTGGATAAATAATTCCTTTTTGCAGTATGATGAGGTAGTGCCTGAAGATCAAACTCCAGAATTGGATGGATTTTACATCAACAAAGGTCATTTGATTTTAAAACGAGTTGATGGACGCTCCTCTTCAGACCACTCTGATTCCGAAGAGAGTGAAGGACCCCAGAATATAAAAAGCCACAAGGTATATTTCTTTTGCAGACTTTCCAATTGTACCAGTATTTTTTTCTTAATATTTTCTTTTTATTGTTGCCATACATTGTCATTTTGATGTTTCAGCGGCCGTTGTCATCCGAAAGTGAATCTGGTAGTTCAGAGTCTTCAGATGACTCTGATGACAGTGATGACAGTGAAGATTCTGAAGAGGATGATGATGAAGAAGAAGCAGATACGGAAATACCAAAAGAAACCAAATCTAATCCTAAAGAAGTTAAAGAAGAAAAAAGCAATGGCCATGGTAGCATTCCTGCCTCCAAGGTAAGGCTTTTCTGCCTCTTATTTTTTTATCTTACCTTATCTCTTATTATCTATCTATTGTTAGCATTTAAGGCCTTTTGTAACTCAATGCTTTATTGTCTAGAAACCCAAACTTTTGGACACATCCTCTAAGAAAGTGAAGAATAAAGCTATTTGCGGAGTCTTCCTTAAGAAGGCAGTGAGTGAAAGGGAACACAATGAAAAACGGCTTAAACATGATATGTTTGAAATGGCATCCACTGAAAAACGTGTCAGCAACAATATCAGTGTTAAGACTCAAAGCGAAAAGCACTGTAACTTGGAGAGTAAGTTGATAATGAAGACAATGACAGTTCCAGTTTTACCTTCACTTCTCTCATTTCTGATGTGTATGTTTCAGGCGATGTTAAACCAATAAGCACCATTGATGCAGCCATAGAAGCTGTGGCTCGGGGTGAGGATTCAAAAGAGAGTGGTATAGCAGAATCCAAATCTCACTCAGGTCTGTTAATATGGCCAAGTGATAAAGTCATTTTTGAATCACAGCTAAGCTCTTTTTTTAATTCTTCCTTTGTTTCAGGTTCTTCTGATGAATCTGGCTCTGATGAAAATGGAAAAGTAAATGGTCAATCAAACGGTGCAATGAGAGTTGCACCTCCTTTACCATCAGACCTCCCACCTAATGTTATGTCTGTAATATCTGCTCTCAAGGAAGTGGCTGTTAAAAATTCTAGCCTAAACAAAAATAATTTCTTTACTTCAGAGATCAATGCATTGTTGTTGAAGTATGTTATTTAAGAAAATATTCTTACTAGTGAGGTTGCTTCATTTCATATTTTTCTCATGTCCAATTCTTTGTTCCAGATTTGAAAAATTCTTGCGATTCGTTCCAAGAGAAAAGAAGGCTGGCATCTATGAACACCTTGAATTTTACTTACCTTGTCGTAAGGAGACTTTAATAAAAAGGGGCAAAGCATTACTTATTGAAGGTGTTGAGAAGGGTTACAAAGAGCCACTTTTAAGGTAAGTTAATGTGTATGTGTGTATGTATATTGCTATCTATGCCCATTTTACTTGGTGAATGGCTCATTGACTGACTTAACATTTTGCAGATTAAAAATAGGAATAACTAATCTGATGCCAAATGCAATGGAGAGATATCAGTCAATGTGTAGAAAGTACGAAAGGTAACTAATTTTCAAGAAGTTGATTTGTGTTAGTGGCTTTGTAAATTGGTGTGTTAATTATTTCATTTCTTTAATTTTTTTTTTTTTTTTTTTTTTTTTCAGCCTTGAGTCATCAGCTGACCCTACAGATGCCTCTAAACCCGCTGACAAAACCAAAACACCCCGTAGAAGGTTCCCTTGGACTGATGAATTGAAGTATGTGTTTGAGATAATTGCAGTGTATTGATTTGTTACTGCATGTCATGCAATTACTTGACCTAATCTTTCTTTCAGGGATGTCTTTGTTCGTGCTGTGAGGAAGCGTAAGGTTTACTTTGGAACAGTAAAACAGAAAGATGAGGTATGGGAAGACCATCTTCGTGAATTTTTGAAGAATGAGCTCGTTCCAATGTGGGAACCTGGATGGATGAAGTTAGCCAGTCTACTTGATATCATTTCCAAAATTTCTCCTGACCTTCTTCAGTTCAAACCGCCATCAATGAACTCTGAGTATGTTGTTTAATTCTCAGATTTTTTTGTTTTTAAAATATTCTTTCACACAATTTATATTTTTCTATTTGTTTTCAATTTGCAGTGACCTGAAGAAAAACCTCGTTTGCCCAACCAAAAAACCAGCGATAAAGGTTAAACAAAGCTGCGATGATATGAAAGTGGAAACTTCAGCAAAGAAAATGAGCTCATCACCCATTAATATTTCTGGGAATTCCAAACCTTTGCAAAGTGTGAATCATCAGCAGGCCTTCATTAATACTCAGCAGGTTTCATCTAGTGAAGTTGGTGTCAAACATGAAGTACCTGTGAATAGCTCTCGGACTGCTTCAAGTGTGAGTTTGATGCAATCAAGCATTTTTCCCTCTTCTAACCAAACAAATGCTTTGGACTTATTAGGTAATGAAATAGCTGAAACTCTACGAACATCTCTTGCTAATAGTTTAGTAAGTGTAACTCCAGTTCAGAGTTCAAGCTCACACTTAAGTCAGAGCAACATACATAGTTCTATTTCATCTAGGAAGTCACTTGGTAGTAGTGTTGATATTATCAATCTCAAAACTAATGGGATTGATTCAAGCATTGAAGTGGTCCCGAAGAAACGTTCGCCTGCTGCACCAAGTGCTACACAAAGTGGCCAACACAATCCTAGTGTAGTACAACCTTTAAATATGGATTTGCAGTTTTTGCCTAAATCGCAATCAGCTTCTATATCTATTGCATCACCCACTCAAACGACCCAACAGTTACCCTATCATTCATCTACGTCACACAACCAAATTAAGGTGTCCAGTGTATCAGCGATTAATTTGAAGCTTAGTGGCCCCCAATCTCAAGCTCAGTCACATCCTTCATCCAATAAGCCAAATATGGCTCAGCCTCCATCGACTAAAGCAAATATGGCTCCACCCTCAAGTAAGGCAAATATGACTCAGCCTCAATTTAATAAGTCAAATATGACTCAGCCTCCATTGAGTAAGGCAAATATGACTCTGCCTCCACCAAGTAAGGCAACTATGTCTCAAACTCCATTAAATATGACAAATATGCCTCAACCTCCATCTAGTAAGTCAAATTTGGCTCAACTTCCAATCAACAAGACAAATCTGGCTCAACCTCCATCAAGTAAGGCAAACATATCTGGTAAATCAAGCATGCCTCAGCCTACATCCTGCAAGACAAGTATGTCTCAGCCGCCATCAAGTAAGGCCAGTCTATCACAGCCTTTAAAGAGCAACAACCATCTAATGTCTGGACATCAAGGCACAGGATCATTTAGTGGCCAGTCTGTTATTTCTCACGGATTGGAGCCTACCAGCCTTGTAGTCAGCTCAAGCCTGACCATTACTCCCGTGAGACCAAGCTCTAGCAACGCCTACTATCAACCGGCCAAAACTCAAGGACATTCAACTATTCAAAGCAGCATCTCTTCAATAGTTTCTCATGGGAACCCCAATGTTCGAAGTGAAGTGATAGTGACTCCCAGTAGTAGCTCTAGTATGCCTCATATTAAGAGCACCAATGCCAACTTCAGTGTCAGCAGTGCTGGCAGTGTTTCATCTAGCAGTAGTTATACGAGCCCACTGTCCAGTGTCAACAACTTTTCTCCATCGTATAGTGGTAGTGTTAATAACTTTACAAACTCTCGTGGTGGTGGTGGTGGAAATGCCTACCAGAACACACATGTAACTGGTGGCAATGGTTTTTCTAGTTCATTATCAAGTTCTGATACCAGTGTACGGACACACCGAACAGTGGCTAATGACGCCTCCATATCTAGAAACCATAGTGCTGACAAGAGTGTCTATTCTCAATCCTCAAGAAACCAGGTGCCTGATAAAGCTCCCCACATGTGGTCAGCACCTGGCCCATTGGATGTTTCAAGAAGTCCCTCGTCCTCACCAATTTCTGTTAAAGCTGTGACCCCTTCACCAGAAAAAGCCATGGTCAGCAGAAAGGATCGAATTCTCCAAGAAACTAGAGAAAGACCAGGAAATGATCCTATGATGCCAACATTAAGTGGTCCTTACCGAAATAGTATTACCACAAGTGATGCAAGTAATACTGCAAGGAATCTATCACAGGTGAGTAGTGCGTTGCTGTGAATTGAGTGTCTCCAAACAACTTCCTTGGTGTAGCAGCATCTCTTGGCCTGGCGCCCAGGCTATGATTTTTAAATTTTGTGGTAGGGACTTGGGTTTCTTCATGTGGTCACTGTGGACATAAGATAATTGTCCCTTTTCAAAGCTTGTGATTTTATTATACTGTTATGGCTCCCAGTTTACATTGCTCTCCAAAAGGTTTAAAGACCCCTGCCACTAGAGAGACAAAATTTAATCAATTAGTTAATGAAAGTCTTTTTCTTTGACACATGCCTCTCTACAATTTTCCAGGCATTCTCTTTTAGTAATGTCTGACAGTACTTTCTGATCAAATCTAATTCAATCATTCGTACACAATTACCTACTGAACAAAGTTCACTATGATTCACTACACAATCCCTTGTCCGTGCAAGGTTATCCCTTGTCACTTATTTCTGAAGCCTTACCTTTGCACCTTTTTATTGTCTGGCCTTGCCACTAGGCAAAAGCATCATCTCAAAGCCTCCCTTGGGACGACGAGCTGTTTATTCTAGAAGATTTTTTGAAGATGTCTTCTCAATCTTCCTCCACACCTCAGAATACACACAAGGTAGTATAATGAGTGCAACATAATGTTGTGGGGACAAACATTATTGTCCCACAGAAACGCAACTGTTTGATGTGATTTTCTTGTTGTACTTCTCACTCAAAGATGGATTTTCTGACTACCTTGGTTGACTGGCTTTGGTGTAGGTGGCTGCAATTTTTTAAGGCCAACCCCCATTTTTTAAAAAATTTCTACACTGATCAACTTCTGTGCTGAGCATGCTGTTTCAACATACTTTTAGGATTGTGGTCGTGCTGGCTTCCCTGTTTCAATTTAAGTTTCTCTATTGACTCCACAAAATTATTTAATGTGGTTTATCTGCATTTTGTACACCTTCTTTCCTCCCTGAAAACAGCATTTTGCCTGCTTGAAACCTCACAATTGCTATCTACCTATTCACAACGTGCTCCTGTGGGTTGCAAAGCTATATTGTCTGCTGTCATATGTGAATTTTCGTCAGAATCTTGCTTGGTTGACCCCCTCCTTTTTATACCCACATGTAATATACCTTTTTTCCCTTCATTCCCACCTTTCTCGTTTTGCTCATATTACCTTTTCTAAACAAATTTTCCCACTGGTCAATTTTTTATTGGTGAAAGCTAACCTTTTCTACTACAAATAACTCACATTGGTTTCCATTGGTAAAGTACTTACCTTGCACTGTACACACACTTATATGTATATATTTACAGTGTGTTGCCTTGAAAGGAATTGGCCATGTTTGGTGTCACCTTTTGTTCCTCTTGCAGGACACCAATTCAAATTTTTATTACTGTATAATTGTATTGTGCGCCTATCTTCTTTTTATACCATTTGTGGTTTGCTCATTATGCCTACAAATGAAGGTGGATAATGCAGCTTGTTTAATCTTTGTCTTCAGGTTTCTACTGCTACCATGGACAGTTACAAACACCCTCTTTCAGTTTTGGAATCACAGAGATGTGACAATATTCCAAATAAATCTCCTCTTCTTGATCCTCCAAGGCCCAAAAACTTAACTGTCCCCACCCCTTCAGATCAACAAAGAGCCAATGTTGTCATGCACACTCCCTATGCACACAATTCATCCAAGTCCAGCTCTTTGGGTTTCATGCAACACCCACGTGACCAGCCTAGGAGTAATGCCATAATATCGAATCATGTTGCTCGTGACTTGTCAAGACCCAGCTCAACAAAGTCCTCATCTAACCCTGACTCTCAGAGAGCCAATGTTGTGATGGCAACCCCTCATTTTCAAGAATCGTTAAGAGCCAGTTCTCTGAAGGACGAAATGAATGACATTTTAGCAGGAATTCCCACCCAAATGATTTCTCGAACCGACCATTACACCATCACCAATTCTATGGTGAGTCCACTGGTGTGGAAAAGGAACATTTACGCTTCAGTATTTTTTTAAGTACTAGAAGATGTGTTGTTTGGCTTAATGTAGGTTGCCTCTAACCCTTTGCCCAACTTCTTCTACACACCTTGTTTGTATTTGTGCACTTCGTTTTTTGACCACTGATATGTTTTGGCTTTGAGCTTCCCATTTTTTCATCAAAATGCTTCATTCATGTCGTTGTTTTCTGTGGTATTTTTTTTTTCGTATTGCAGCTAATTTTTGTCATTTTATTTTGTTGCCTATATTATTTGGATAGTAAAAGAAATCACATTGACTGCAAACAGCTTCTTAACATTATGCGATGGGCTTGGCCCCTCTTGCTGTCAATGTGCTAAATCGTTAAGCACATCTTATTACTTTGGCTGATATTTTAAAATTTTGATTCAGTTTCTAAGGTGGGATTGGTTTTTACAGGCTGCCCATAATGCCAAGAGAAAGAGCATATCAGAAATTTCTGACCAAGATTCAGACGTGGCCATTGGTTCCACAACTTCAATGCGAAGTGACCCAAAGGTATGGCTGTTTTCCTATCTGTTGTTCCTATCAATTTTCACTTTCTAAGTGATTTCATGTGTGTTTATAGAATTTGGCAAGTCAAGAAGAATCTCGTCAAAAAGCACATGACCTTGCAATGAGGGGAATTTTGATGAGCCGTACAAACTGTGACGACAATTACAGTGATGATGCTTGGGGTGCAGCACCAGTGAAGAAGACTGGTTCTAATAAGTCATCAAAGTAAGTACAAGATCTAACGACTAACAGTTGTTTGCTTCTCTAATGGGCTTAGTGTATGTTGAAACAAGTTTTAGCTGGTTAAATTGTGTCTAGATTTGTCTTAGGATGTTTGCTTCTCTGATCATTTTGTTTTGACTAGGTGCTGCATCATTTATTTTTGTTATTGTGGTTCTACATTCCTTACCCCCTTACCTGTATCATAGATCAAATTATCTGAACACAAGGTTATCCTGAAATCATCTGCCATCTCCCATTCCTTCACCCCTCTCCCCTAATGTCTTTTTCATGTCAAGTTGGTTCACTTGTTTATATGTTTTATTTGTGATGTGTAGTTTGTGTACATGCATCTAAATGATCTGTCATACTTCAGTGACATCTCAGACCAGAGACTGGGTGGAATGGGCCCTCTATCGTCACCATTGAGCATGACTGGGTTAGATGATATGGGCTTGGGATTGCCATCTCACTTACTTGGGTATCAAAATGACTACCAGCGGCATCTCTATGGAAGCTCATCAAAGACAACAGGTAATCACCTAATTAACTTGGCACTAACGAACTGCTCCCATTTGCTCTGTAGATAGATAATAATAATGCCTGCATGGATATATCTTCATTTGCATTCATATTGTAGCAGCTGTATTTTGTGTGCACTGCCTTCCTATTGCAGTTTTATAGTACTAATAGGCCATCTTTGAGTCCGTCTTAATGTGACCAGTATTCTTCACTTGACTCTTTTGATAGTATTTTTCAAGGGTTTATTAGCATTGCTTACAGTTTCAAAAACATATTTTGTATCTTATCTCATCTCTTTTATCGCATAGACTGACTTTAAAGCTGGTGTTGGATCTGGACTGAAACAGACCTATGCTTTTGTGCCTGTCTTTGCATCTTAGTCTTGCTTTTGTTAAGTGCATAAATTTTAGTCTAAATATGAAGTGCTTCTATTTCTTCTGTGTGACCTTGATTTAATTTTCTTGTCTTACATTATTTTACAGGGCCAAATGACAACCGTCCGTTGTAGAAGACTGTTAATCTGATAGAATCATCCTCCAGCTACTTCTCTTATTGTTTATTACAGTCAGACGCCTCTATTTATGCCTGGATCTTTATGTTCCTCAATCACAGTAATGTGCCTTTCTGTAGCTCAGTCAAGTTTTGGTTTATAGGGATTAGTATCATGTAGAACATTCTCGTTAAGAACTGTCTTGAGTTAGCTGTTTAAAATAATGCTTCTTTAGTCATTTTCTCATCCCATGTTAGCTATTGTATGTATATTATCACTTAATCCTTGTACTTTTGCTGTCTCTTAAAGAGAGGCCTTAATATGTGTTCATTATTTTTCACCTCATATTTATCAACTCAATCCTATGGTTTTTGCTGCCTAATAAAGGCACCTTGAAATCATTCACTTCCCCCTTCTGCTGCCCTTTTTGCTCTTACCAACAGATTCCAGCTCATTTTAATGTTTAAGTGGCATTTGTTTAAAAGACTAACATTGACAGATTTTATCCGATTGAAGGAAGGGGAGAAGTTTTTTAAATTATTAGTTTTTGTAATAAAATGTTGCTCAAATGTAAAACTAAAATGTCTTCAACCTTCAGGTCATGAAACTAGACATGTGTCTACAGATTTCCCTTTTTCATGTTTGCAACTATCACTAGTCACAAGAGGGTATTCACCAACCATCTGCAAGGAGCTGGATTTCCAAATTTGTTGTACAACAATTTAGCAAGTGTCTTTAATTAATTTTGACTCATTTGTCTCCCATAGAAACATTAAGACTTTGTTTCTCATTGTAACTCTATGGGTGGTTGTGTTATTTACTTATTGTTGGCAATGCAACTAAAATTAGGTAACGACTAAATTTTATAATTTTGATCTCTTGGAACCTACTTTATGCATTATGAATGTGAGTGAGAGAGATACTATTGAAGACTTGCATTGATCCTTGGTTTCTCTGGGCCAGTAGTATAACAAAACTTAATGTGATAAGCTGATCCAATTTGTAAGTGTAGTGTGAGAGGGCCTGCTTCATTTTGCAAGTTAACATTCCATCTTAAATTGTGAACTATTGAATTTCAGAGTTCTTGGATATACTAATGTAATGTATGGAAAACAACTTGCACAGGGGCCTTTTTTGAATGGAAGACTATGAATGAATGAATAAATGATTGTATGTATGTAAGTTATCAAGTGCATGTAAATTTTGTATGGATGTTTGTAAATAGTCCTGTTAACACAAGTTTAAATGAAGTCACATTTCAATATTTTGTTATTAATTTTCGTTGTTTCCTTTCTACTTCTTTCAAAATGTAAACAGCTGTGATTTATGAAATGTGCTTTTTAAAACTGCCATGTGTTTGCCAAATACATATTGTGTGGAAAAGTAGAAAGTTCTCAATCTTTTTTAATTCTTTTAATGGATCTTATGAAGTAAAACATTGTGCACAGATACAGAAAATAAGAGATGATTGCAAGAATGGTGCACACACAAATTCAAGAAGTAAACTAGCCTATCCATCTTAGAGATCATAAATAATGTCAGAAAACAGTTCCAATCAATTTGCTCTTCCTGGACTACATATCTTTAAACTGTCCAGACCCATCCAGCATTAGAATATCAGGGTTTTCAGTCTCAAATTTAGTGGGGTCGTGTTCACGTTCGTCTTTGCCCCACTGACCCAACTCTTTCATAACATCAGGTTGTTGCTTCCGTTCCTCCTCCTCCTTCTGCAAAATAATAACAGCAGAGACAAAAAGAAAAGTTAGAATGTTCAATTAAAATGACCCAAAGGCTGGCAAGATCAATTTTAAGCTGCAGGGAACGGCACAAGGTTAAAATTCCATCAATAAAGCAAAGAATGGTGACATAATACAGGCACAGTGAACTTGTTGCTGAAACACGCGAAAGAGAAAGAGACATGAGCCTTCACAATGTTTTTATCAGATTAGCAATAGGTGTCACCCATTCTTTTGCAAATTAACCCTTGTTTGTTAAACCAGAGCAGAGTGAGTGATAGTAGTTTGAAAAACAACAATCCTTTCCATGAGAGTAACAACAGTAATACATACAATAAACATCTGTTAGCATGACACTGCATAATATTTATACGTGTGATGACCACCTTTGCTAAAATATGACTCAAGAATTAACTTTATGATAAAATAAGAATTAAATTTTAAAAAATCAATAAAAATTAAAAGCTAAAGAGAGAAAAAAAAATTTAAAAATCGAATTTATAAACTCATGGAGCCGAGTATGTAGAAGGCAAATCAAATGGTTGGTCCTGGCCCTTCTGTTCTTCCAGTTTCCTTTTCTTCCTTTGCACTTGAGTCCACTTCTACATTTTTGTCGGCAGCATCTTCTCCAGGTGTTGTCACCTGGTCTTTAACGCTTGCCTCTTTTTCCTTCTCCATCTCCAGTTTATGTTTCTTCATTCTTTCAATGAATTCTTTCTTCTTTTGTAGATCTTTGCTCTTTGAATTTTGTTCTTCTTCAACCTCTTCATCTCTATAAGGAGCAGGGGTGACAGGCCGAATTCCATCCCACCATCCAAACCGACTTTCTTTTTCCTGAAACAAAATCATATGTTCCTTGCAAATACACCAACAGACACAACTTGAAAATTGAACTGCACAAGGTAATGAACCACACACAAGAAATAATTAAGCCCAAGAAGGTAAACTTACTTCAAGTTCTTCCATCAAATTTATTTCTCTCCCTTTCAATTTGAGGACGAAGCATTCTTGGTTAGTTCACATGCTTTTATTTCAGAAACTGTCATAGCAATCTCACAAAACATATGATTAAAGCTCTAGCCAAATAACAGAATGTCAAAAACTAGTGATTAAACTTCTTCTATGGACTAGCTCACATCATTAAGGAATAAGTACAACAGCTTTCTGACCACCTCGGAAGTACAAATTAGTTTCTTAGAATGAAAAGTTCAATAAGTTTTCACCAGTCTATTGGTACAAAACACAGTTTACAAGGAAAAGCAGTTTGTGGCAGAAATGATACATGTGGATTTTATAGAAACTCTCAATGTCATAACATATCCAGAAGAATTAAAAAATTATGCATGATATGCAATTGGGTAAAACTGCATTGAGGAAGGTTGAAAAAGTAAATAAATGAGCTCAAAAATAATTCAATAAGGACCTTTAAAAACAATTTATTTCACACGTGCAAAACTAGGTCACACTGGGACTGGACAGACACAGACATCATTGTACAAAAGGAGAAATCAGAAAGAACAAAAAAATGGGTGTTATCAGTGTCAAAGGAGTTGCAGGCAGACAACAATTCATGGTAATAAGAGACCTACTTCACAACACTTGTTAAAAAAAACAAAACAACTTAATATTAATAACTAAACTACACTCCAAGCTTGCAAACCAAAAGGAGCCACATGGTACAGGGAGGGGAGGAGCAAGAAAGGGAAGTATAATTATGAAGAAAGCTGATCATACCTCACGGTCTTTCTGTGCAAATTTCTCAAACATATTGGCGTAGATCATCTTTTCCTTCTTCTTCTGCTCCTTAATCAGGCCATTGCAAATAACAATGCTATTAGCAGCTGCTTTGTTTTCAGGAGCTAAGGCAAGAACAGCCTCAAAATCTTGTTTGGCTAATTCAGGTTCAGCCAATGCCAAGTAACCCTACAGGCAAAATGGAAAAATTAAAAAGGGAAGATCTAAAATTGAGATTAGTTTCTTCCTAAGGAATGAAAGAACAGCTTACCTGCCCTCGTCTGAAGAGACCTTTCTCATTTTTCGAATCAATGGCAAGTGCTTTGTCACAGTGATCCACAGCATCTTTGTTGTCGTTCAGTTTTAAATGGCACAACGCTGCATTTAAATGAGCTGCCAATTTTAAACTCTTAGAATTTTCCTCAGCATCTGAAGAGATGGAAACCTCATTAAACCTGTTACTATTGAGTTGAAATATACATTTACTCGCAGATTCTCACCATCATTGAGGAAGTCTAAGATCTTTTTGTACATTTTCACAGCCAGCTTCAGATTTCCTGACTTAAAGTACTTTGTACCCTTCTCCTTGTAAAGCTGTGCCTGTTCCACCCTTCCTTCTTCATCCAAAGACCAACTTTCGGGTTCCTAATAAAAGAATCATATTTTTAAAAAAGAAGAAACAAATAAGTGGAGGCATACCTGGTGCAAACCAGAATAACAAATCAGTCGAACTTGAAGAGATAAAAAATTCAACACACCATTTCAAATGATTTGAGTTCCACTTCATATTCGACAGTGGCGCCAGGTGGAATCTGAAACTCTGGCTTGCCAGCCTCACCAAAGGCATACTCTGGCTTTAGTTTTAAAATTGATTTCTCTCCTTTCTTGAACTTTTGAAGTGCTATTTCAATGCCATCAGGCACACCACTTTCAATTCCTTCTCCTAGGCAGAAGTTGACACTTCTGTCCTCAAATACTTTGTTTTGATATTTACCAACCAAATGAACTGAAAACAAAAATTGAGTTTGATGATTATTCATAATTTAAGTCCATGAAAAAGATAAATTAATATTAAAATCCACTTACCGTCAACTTGAGACCCTTCATTGGGATTAGAGTGACCATCACCCACTGATATCAAAGTCCGAATGATCGCTCCATTCTCCTTTGGACTGAGATCTTCACCTTGCCAGTCAATCATCTCTATCTATAAAAAGACAAAAGACATGATTGAAATGTTGGTCTGTTGAGGAAACGATCTTCCTTCGATTGCAAGAAGAGAAAACCACATACCTCAAACTGCAAGGTTGCATCTGGAGGAATGGTGGGAGGACTTCCTGTTTTGCCGTAGGCATAGTCTGAGCGGCATGTCAGCATGCACACCTCTCCGCGTTTCATGGTAGCAACACCAATATCCCAGGCAGAAATTACACTTCCTAATCAAAAGAATGTGATTTGATGAATTCAAAAGCATTAGTTATGCACACACCAATCAATCCCTAGGTTTGAGCAGGTGCTTCCATGTTTGTTCCTATTCCAATGCAGTGTGATGATCTTCAAAACACCTATGCGCTTTACTCATGATGTAAACTCAACCAAGCCAAAGGTATAGTTTCTTGCTACTAAGGAAACTGACCCCTCCAACTCAAGGAGTCTACATGCACCAGCTCCAGTAGCCCCTCGGCCTTATCAAAGAGATAGTTTTAACAGTAAAAAATAGAAAATGAGACCTCTGAGTTGGCTTTAAGGGATGTTATTCATTGGAACAGACAAATATGACTGCACCTCGCACACCTCAAAAAGAGATAGACCAAAAAAATTACATACCTAAGCCAAGGTTGAATGTGAATGGAGTATTCCGATCTTTACTGGAATCAAATTTAGTCCCATCTAAAAGTGTTCCGGTGTAGTGTACCGTAACTTTATTTCCTTTGGAGGGCAAATCCGTTCCAGTTCCTTCCTTGATGATTCGCTTCAAGACTCCTCCATCCTTAGCTTTTGAGATATCAATCCCATTGGGGCTGACTTGTTCAACTGTCATCTTCCTGCAAACAAAAAGCAGATGAACAATTCTGAAATCCTGTAAGGCGATCCGTCACTATCAGGCCCTCCCCTTCTCTACTTGTCTCTTCGGAACGCGAACGCGTGGGTCAGCGGTGATGGTTAGCCGGCAAAAACGAATGAACACGGACACGAATGATAGATGAATATAGAATGCGCTCGGATAGTGTGCCGCAAAGGAGCAGAGCGCATTCAAGACATTCTCAAGCGATAACGGGAACGGGATGCATTCGTACTTACGATTGCTTTCGGTACGACACGCGCTAGGAAAGAAACGCTAACTCCGTGCTCGGGCTTCGTGTTGTTGCTGGCGGTTGCTGGGTGACCGACGGGCAGACGCGAAGTGACTTGCAGATGAGAGCGACAAGGTGAGTAGATCGGCAAGGTGCCGAGGATAGAACTGGAAGGGCGCAGAACAAATCTAATGAACAGAACCTTCGAGATCCCGCACGTCCTCGCCTAGCTTGCCGCTTGCCTCGCTTGCCCTATCCCAAACAAAGGAGGGGGAGGACGCAAGAGAGAGAAAGAGAGAGGGGTTGGAGGCTTCGAAACAATAGAACATAAGTCGTCTCGTGATCTAACGCGTTAAATGAATGAAAGGGTATTGAACAACTTGAATTCAATCCCCGCCAAGTAAGATACGTCGAGGAAAATTGAGGTGATTCCGTAAACCCTTGAATAACAGCAACAGCAGACGACGCAGCTGCTAATAGTGTAGGATGATTTATACACAGTCAGCACCTCCCTCCACTTCCACCTCCACCCCACGCCAAGCAGAAAGGATTGTTTATTTTAAATTGTAATTGCTTTTCTTAAAGTGTGATGACCGTGTCTTGTGTCTTGTATTGCAGTTAGAAGACTCCGCCTTCAGTTGTAAACTATTTATGTACCTGCCTGTGCTGGTTGCTAAGGACTCTTAGAGGAACCCTAGCAACTGTTGCAAATCGACAAATTACATGACTTCACTTTGAGCACCGTTCAATTATTATGGAATCATCTGAAGAAATACTCTTGAAAAATAATGAGGTTAAAAAAGAAACAATTACCTCTTTACTGGAGCAACATAAATCACAGGTATTATCATATTAGCTACGATCAATACTTTATTTTATAAATTTACAAGGGTTCTATTTGTATACAATTTTAAATTTCAGGACGTTTGGATTTCTGATGAAGAGTTTTATACGGAAGGAAGCAGTGATGAAGATGACATGGCCTTACGCATCAAGCAACGTGAGCGAAGAAAGGCAAAGAGAGAAGAATCTTCGGGTACTACAGCGCCTTTGAATGAAAGTAGACTTGTTAATAATAAGAAGGACACAGAAGCTGCTAAGAACATCCCTGCTGATCAGAATTGTGACGAATCTCACTTGTGGCGTCCCACATATGGGACCAATAAATTGAAAACTACCTTAGATCCGGATCATGGACAGTTACCGACAGGCAGCAAGCAGCCTGATGTGTCCGCCAAATAATTATGTACGCGCATAACATTTTAATAATTTTTAGTATGTTCACAAAACTACATTGCGAAGTCTTCAGGAACTTTACGCTTTAACACCTGTTGAGTATACATCATTATTAGATTAGAGCCTTTCTCTTAGTGCTCTCAAAGACTGATTTTATAAAATAAACTTTTAAAAGAGGTCATTGAATACTTTTTCTATCTAGGTTTCAAAGCCCATTCATTGCACAGTGGAGCTCAAAGCCCATTAATTGCACAGTGCTGGAGTGCTGTACTTGGCAACCTTCACTCTGCTGTTTGTTGAGCCAGGCGGGACTCAGGTGGCCCGGTGCCGGGGTGTCGTGGATGCTGCTGCAGATGGTGAGGCTGGAGGCGAGGCGCGGTACCAAGACGGGGCAGTCGCTGGCGAGGCCGAGGCAGGCCCGGGCCTTGAGGAGGCGCCCCAGACGGCGGGGCCCTTCAAGTCCCTGTGCGAAGCGTACAGCAGCATGCACAAGCTGGACGCGCTGCTGCGGCAATCGGACCAGCGGCTCAAGGTGAACCACAGCCTCCAAAGCACAGCCCTGGCAGTGGCGGCCTGGCGGCAACGCAAAGGGTGTGACTCTGTGCCTCGTACAGGAGGCCCAGGCAGAGACGCTGCAGGCCCAGCTGACCACGCGGTCGCACCTGCGCCAACTGCGGCAGCGGACGGGCAGCCAGAACGTGGTGATGGCCAGGAACTGGGACGCCTTCATGAAGCTGTGCCCCGCCATGGAGGCCATGCAGCCGGTCATGGACGACACTCCAAAGCAGGGTAGGCGGTCTGGCGGTCGCCCCCCTGTTTAGGGCTCTACTGCCCTGCTGTCGCGGGACCGAGGGGCTGCGTGCGTCCGCGCAGAGCAGGACGCCCCTGTGTGTTCACACCGGGACCACTGGGACGCTACAAATGCGCTGTTCGCCAAATAGCATCCCTTTGATCGTAACGCCTGTGGGGTAGGCACCGGCCCGCCCCGCAACACACCGGTGTGGAGACGCTGGCCTACCTTGCCCCTTCGCAGGCGCAAGGTAGGCCGCCGCCTGCACACCGGTGTGTTGCGTGACTGCCCGGTGGCCTACCTCGCAGGCGCTACAGGCTCGCCCTGCCCGTCGCAATCACATAGCAGTGCACGGCGTGTTTCAGTGCGGAGCAGGGACTCCGTGCTGCCCAGGATCAGCGGCACCAACTCGGACCAGGAGTCGGAGGACTCGGACCACGTGAGGACGAAGGGCGAACCGGGGAAGGGAAGGGCGCGCACCTTGCCCTTTGCGATTCACGATGCTGTTCGCGTTGCAGTCCACGTCCGCGCTGGCCATCACCGACGAGGAGAAGCTCAAGCTGGCCGCCCTCCTCAGAGACTTGGACCAAGACCTGGCCGCCGAGGAAGACGACGACATGGACGCGGGGTCGGGTCCAGAGCGCGGCCCGAGGGCAGAGCCACTGGGGGCGGGGTACAACCTGGACGCTGAGGTTCGCCGCAGCCTGGAGAACATCGACGGAAAGCTTCAGGTGGGGGCGCAGGGCCCGCAGTCCTCTTCCTCGTCTGCAGCCTTGCACTAAGCTGTGCAGCCTGCATCGCCAGGCACACACGGCGGATGGGTGGCCTACCCTCAAGGCTGCGTGGTGCGAGCTAGCAGCTAGCCATTTGCCAATTGCAGGCCGTCTTGTCTTGCTGACAGGAGCTGGTCCCGGAGACGTCGGCGCGGAGGCTGCGGCAGGGCGGTTCGTCCGCGGCGGGCAAGGCGGGCACGAGGCAGCAGCGCCTCGACGACATCGACCGCTGCCTGCGCGCGCTCGCCGAGTCCGCCCTGGAGGTGAGCGAGCGGCCCGCACGCCATATGCAGTGCACGCGCCACGTGCACCGCATGCGCGCCGTGAGTCGGAAGGGCTGAGCCACGGCCAAGCCCACGGCACTGGGGTGGAAAATGAGTTCCCCGAGGACGCGAGACGAGACGGTGTCAGTTCCATTACCCCGCCTTACTTTACCCCCGGCTATCAGACAGCGGCGGTGTCAAAATTGGAGTCTGTGACTCGGTCTTTGACATTTTCAAAAAATCTTGCTACCTGGATTGCTTTGACACGAAACGTTGAAAATGACTGTCGCGTGATCCGGTTGCAGGACGTGGAACCCGTCAGCGAGGAGGAGGTCCAGGCGCTGCTGCAGGAGGCCCGGGGTTGGTGCGGCCCCAGCGCTCCCACGGACAAGCAGGACAAGCCGCTGCTCGAGCCCAACCTCATCCACGGGCTGCTGCAGGAGGCCCGGAAGGAGCTGCCCCGGTTCCGCTACCGCCACCTCCAGGACGCCGACGGCCAGCGCTGCAAAGCGCCCCACTGCCCTTGACCTGCTTCAACCAAACGTGCATATGATGTCATTTCGTTATTTAAGATAGTAAAAATATCATTAAACGACCACTTTTATCACTTTTTTTTTCGAAAAGCAACCGTTTTTGTACGGTTCTGAGTTGAGGAGCGGCGAGGCTTATTGAGACGCCAAGGCTCGCCAAGGCTGTCGACGCGTTCGCGAGTTTGCGACGACGGGGCGTTCGGGTCAGCGATAAGGCGAGACCCACTTCTCTCACGGCTGCCTGCCTTGACTCCGGGGAAAACACACTTTCCTTCCTTTAACGAGCGTGAAGGCGTAAACGCGGCGGCACTAGGCGGCCAGCGGGCCGCTTCCGAGTGGGGGTGTCTCTTCGGTCTCTCTCGCACTCGCGGCGCGTTCCGCGTGGGTGTGACAGAGACAGACCGACGGGACCGCCCGCTCGGAGTCAGCCTGCTGGGGGCACGCCGGGGGGCACGCCGCCACCCCAGGGAAACCGAGTTAGAAGCGAAGGCCACTCCTGCCGTACCTGGAGTCGAAGATGAGGACGAGGACCTTGTAGGGGGAGGGGGTCACGAGGAGGGAGGGAGCAGCACGGCGCCCCCGGGTACCCCCGTTGAGTGCCTGGCGCCGCCTCGCGCCGCACAGCCCCCGGCAGACGCTGTGTCCGCAGCAAGCAGCTGCTACGCGCGAGATGCGGACAGCCCCCCTCAGCTTCACCTTGCAGGCCATCTTGGCCGCGGCGCTGGACGTCGCGCTGGCCAGTGGCGGCGTCTCCCTGCTCTCGGCCGCCCCGGAGGTACCCGGAGGTGACGCGCCGCGCGCGGGGAAGTAGCTGGAAGCAGGGAGCGGCCGATGCCGATTCGTGGCCGTCCAAGGGCTGACAGCGCGCTTGGCGCTACTCTGTGCTTGCCCTTGAGTCGCTGGGCACGGCGGTGACGGTGGTCACGGCCGGCCTCACCGTGCCGCGGCCCGAGGCACGCGTGACACCTTATCTCGAGACGCGCAGTCGCACTGCCGAGCGGTTCCGAAAAGTCCTCTGTCGCTCTCTCTCTCTCTCGCATGCCGATGGGTGCGAGAGAGACAGAGCGACGATGACTATTCGCACGCAACCACCCGGCGCGTGCGTTGTGGAGGGTAGTGGAAGGTCAAGGGAGTGCCCGGTCCGGTCCGCAGAGGAGCCCCTGTCGCGGCGATGGCGTCGGAAGCGGCCGCGGCGGCACCTGCGCGCTACACTGCATGTGGTCGTCCAGGCTGTGCCGCATGTGCTGTGCAGGCAAGGCCCCCGACGACGAGCGCACCACCAGGAGGGGCGAGCGGACCGACGAGGTGACCAAGGAGCCGGACGCCACGGAGGAGCCCTCCACGGAGCGCGACAACCACGTGACCAAGGACTCCGAGGGGCCGAAGCTCGTGTTCCCGAACCAGCTGCCCGAGGGAACGCAGGTGAGCGACGTGTATCTGCCAAGAGATTCCGAAAAGGCATTTCTTCGCTCTGCGCCTCTCGCACCCTGACGGTATGCTCGGTGAGTGCGAGAGAGACAGAGCCTGCTGGATGTCATGGCCGTCGGGGCGTGTGAGTGCGCGTCGTCGAGTGCCTCTGCCTCGCTCTGCCCGCAGGAGGCCATGCTGGAGACGGCGGCGCACATCCTGGCCATCGTGTCTCGCGAGGACTCGGTGCGCATCCGCATCTGGGTGGAGAACCCCGAGCGCAACCTGGACAACATCGAGCGCCTGGCCGGCAAGCTGGCCTCGTTCCCGCGTGCCCCCTTCGGGCGCGCGTACTGGCGCCTCGTGCTGCGCGCCTCCAAGGACCGGCCCTTCACGCTGCTCAGGGAGGCGCTGGCCGTCCGCGCCGCCTACCTCGAGAGCAGCGCCGTGGCCACCACGGCCGCCACCAGCGACGCGGAGGAGGCGAGCGAGGCGTGGCGGCTGCTGCGGGCCAGCCCCAGGGCCAGCCCGACGGCCAGCCCCCCGAGGGCCAGCCCCGCACCCACGTCGAGATGAGCTGCTTGGTCATGGTTGTTTCACGAAAAGACAGGAGGGGAGGTAAAATAAACGCTATCTATTCTGTAAATAAGTAGTTTTTATTTCGTCCCTAAGCTGGAGAGCATAGGTCCCAGGCGTAAAAGCCAATTACAAGATTTATAATCGCAAGAAAAATAGGGTTAGTGAAAAAATATAAATGAGAGCGTCACAGTGGAGCTCCAGCCGGCCGTGATAAATTTCGCCTCCGGTAGGAGATGGTCATTGCGCCCACAGTCGCCGCCGCGATCCAGGAAAGGATCGTCAGCAAGCAGGACCCAGTCCACCCAGTCGTAGATGGCGCGAATCAAGGCGTTCGAGCCGCGGCAGCGGTCGTTCCGGTGGACGCAGCGGGCGTTCCGGCCTACGCAGCCGACGCAGCCGTCGTTCCAGCGGACGCAGCGGGCGTTCCGGCCGACGCAGCGGGCGTTCCAGCGGACGCAGCGGGCGTTCCAGCCGACGCAGCGGGCGTTCCAGCCGACGCAGCGGGCGTTCCGGCGGACGCAGCGGGCGTTCCGGCGGACGCAGCGGGTGTGCTCTGCGACGTGGTGGTGCCGTCCTCTACGGTGCTCCTCGGCGCACGGCTGGTGGAGGGTGGCGTGGACGCTGTCGAGGACGGTCGTCGCGAGGTGGAGGAGGGCTGGGAGCCCGGGCAGCACCGGCTGCACACCTCCCGCACCTCGGAGCCGTAGTCACCCTTGCACATCCAGTCGCACACGTCGCGGTCTGTCCACAGGAAGCGGCGCACCCTGCAGGCAGTGTTCAGTGCCCGCGGGCCCCTTTAGTATCGCTTTCGGTTTATTTCATCGCCAACATGTTCAGCCCGCAAGTAGCCAAGCAAAGCATCACTGTGCGAATTAGTATTGCAACCGAATAGTGACAGTACACACCTCGAGTCCTTGGTCCTGAAGGCAGTGTCGCGGACCCAGCGCTCGTCGCTCTCCCCGCTGCTTCCCAGGTCGCCCAGCAGCCCGCTCCAGAGGCAGCGCGGCTGTCCACCACGAATACGCGGGAAGAAAATGAGTGCCGTGCCTTTGGTCCAGCCAACGACTGATTCGGAACAGCGCTTTCGTCGCTCCGCCTCTCTCATGTGGCGTTCCATAGGGGTGCGAGAGAGACAGAGCGACGACACGCTGTTTTGAATGGCGCTGCTGAACCGTACATGTGACGGTGATGGCGTCGGCGGTCCCTGCAGACTGATTCCGAGAGTCGATTTCGTCGCTCTGTCTCTTTTGCACTCGGGCGTCCCGTCTGGGTGCGAGAGAGAGACAGCGCGACGAGAACGACTCTCGGAATCAGTCTGCTGGGCCCCTTTCAAGGGATGACGCCATGGATGGGCTAGGGCGGGCTAGGGCCGCCTAGGGCCCCGGCGCCGGAACACGACCCTGCGGCATTGTCCTGCCGCCGCGCTGCCGCTGCCTGGCCGTGGGAGGCGGCCGGCCGATCGGGTGTCCGTGTCCGCCGTGCCCGCTGTGCCCGCCGTGTCCGGGGAAAGGCCTGTCATACTCACCGTGAAGAGGGCGTCTGCGGTGGCGACGAGCAGCGCCGCCAGGAGCGCCATTCTCAGGAGGGGCTGCATGTTGGCAGTGCAGGAGGTGGTGGCGGTGCGGGCGTTGCAGGGGCCGGGCGTCTCTAAAAGTGTCGGAGCGCTGCGCCGTCGGAGAGGAGTCCCGCGCGACTGGAGGAAGCAGGGCCGCGGCTACCCGGGTCGTCAGGTCGCTCTGCTTGCATGAGACGCGTGGCGCCGCGTGGCGGGGCGGGGCGGGGCGGGGCGCGGTGGGGGTGGAGGCGCGTGCCTAGGCGTGTCCCGTCGTTAAGCAGGCAACGAGACTTGTCGTTTTCAGCGCCACCTTTCGGCCCGGCCCGGCCCGGCACGCGGGTGCGGTTCCGCATTTGCTTTGTTGACACATATTCTGCGTACTCAACCGCTAAAGGTCTGCATAGCCCAGCAGCGTTGATGATGATTTCACGCGTACTGGCCCAACAAGCTGGAAGAGGCTGTTCACGTTGAGCTTTGTCGGGGACAGTGTCTACGACGGTGCAATGTCTAGGGCATCGCCATTTTGTATTTCATTCAAGATACAGGTGCACACTTGATCAAAAATCGGAGAAGCTTGAGCACGGCGTAGTTACACTGTACCCAGAGCACACGCACCCTACGCTGCGGGCTCGGTGGTGGTCTCGGCTGGGCTGGCTGAGGTTGAAGCTGCCGCGCCCTCCGTAGAGCTTGTCGTGGCCGAGCTCGTGGACGAGGCCGCTCGTGCCGTGGTCGTGGAGCCCTCCCCCTGGCCCGAGGTGGAGGTGCCGTCGCCGGGGGTCGCGGTGGAGCCAGCGGTGGAGCCAGCGGCAGACGACGGCGTGGTGCTGAAGGCGTTGGCGCCGTCGCCGCCCAGCCACTTGGGGCAGCAGCGCTTGCAGACCGCGTCCCATAGCGACACCAGCTTGTTGGAGCAGTACACGCCGCACGCCCAGTCGTCGCGCCGCATCTCCACCACGGAGGTGGGGAACTGGCCGACGAGGCACGGCACCTGCGGATAGCGGACACCACGGCCACGTCGTCATCGAGCACGTGCAAGGATAGCGACGTGGCGGCGCGGCAAGGCTCTCACCAGGAAGGCGGCGTTGGCCGCGGCCAGCAGGCACACCAGGGGCACCAGCACCGCGGCGCTCGCCGAGGACCCCGTCGCCTTCAAGTCCATGCTGCAGCCTTGAGGCATGCCTGAGGGCTCGGCCACCTTCCGCGGGCCTTTTATACGCCCCGCCGCCCCGCCGCCCCGCCGGAAAGGCCGTGACGGGCTTTACGATGCAGCGGCGCGTTGCAGCGCGAGCAAAGCGCGAGCAAAGCGCGAGCGTGCACGACAACACCAAAAAATGGCAAGGAACATCCCATTTTCATGTTTTCTCTTTGAGTGCATGGGTCGAGGAAATAAATTTCTTGTCCATTATCTGCGTTTTGCTTCTTTATTTTTCTGGAGGAATCTTAGCGACTATGTAGCAACTATGGTACAAAGATGAATGCCGTCTCAGCCCGCCGGCGCCGTGGAGCTGGCCGCGCTCACGGACGACGGCGTGCTGCTGGCGGCGCTGCTGGGGCGGGCCGTGGTGGTGGTGCCGTCCGAGGGCACGGCCCAGGTCCACGTCCCCGAGGCCCCCGACGACGTCCCGGCGCCGCCCGGCTTCATCCCCAAAAGCTGGCTTATCTGGGGGAAAAGGACAGGCTCAATCTTCCTCTGTATAGCAGCTTTTTCTTTTCGAAATCATTATTGACTTTTTGGTGTAAGGCATGCCGCGCGGTGCTGCGCGGTGTGGCTTACCGTGGCGCCCGGCGAGGGCACCCCCGGCCACCCCATGGCGGCCAGCAGGCTGGTGAGGGGGATCTGCACGCCCTGGGCCTGGCCCTGGCCATGGCCCCACGAGGCCCACGGCGCGGCCTCGGCGCCGCGGCAGCATCTCTGGCACATGGCGCTGGCGGCGAGCGGGGCGCGGCACAGCAGTTTGCAGGCGTCCGCGTCCGTCGCCAAGGACCGGGGCCCTCCCGCGGGGACTCCCAGGGGGCCGGCGCCGCCTGCGCGCTGAAACCTCCACAAACAGGGCGCCTGGGAGAGGGGAGGGGAGGAGCGCGTTGTCGTCAGTGGGTGTCACAGTCAGTTTGAAAACTTGGGTAAATTGGTGGAGAGAAAACATGGAGGAATTACAAGAAACTTGTTTCCAGCCTCGTTCGGGAAGAAAGGGGAGGCACTATTCACCAGGAAGCTGGCGTCGCACAGCGCGGGCAGCAGGCAGACGCACAGGCACGCCGCGGCGGCCACGAGCAGGTGCGGCGTCATCGCTACGGCAGCACGAGCAGCACCATGCCGGCCGGCTGGTCGTGCTGGTCGTCGTCCTGGACCGCGCCGGGGACAAGGAGGCAGTCCCGCCGACACTCCGCCACGCCGCCTTATGAGGGGCGCCTCACGCTCGCGTCAGGAAGCGCCGGCCCGGCGTCTTCTGTCCCCGTCACTCCTGTCACCCAGACACAGTGGGTGCGACAGAGACACGAGGCGCGGGGCCGTGGAACGCAGCGGAACGCAGCCGGGCGGTGGTGCAACCCTTATCGCGCGGAGCCGGACGCAGTAGTTCCCTGGCTGGCTCCTGCCTCTGCACTCGGAAAAATAATGATTCAACTGCGTGTTCCAATGTAAATTGGGCCTGTGGTCAGTAACCATAAGAGATAGAGCCGATAGAGCCGCACGTATGAGAAGAAAACTTATTTTATTGTATCAAATTTTCTTAATTTTTATTTTAAGAGTAATGTCCCAAACACAATACCGTCAATATTGCCGCGTGGGCCAACATAAAAATACGGCACTCACAGCAGTGCCAACTTATAGCACCCCCCCCCTTTTCCCCCTTCCCCATACACATACACACACACACACACACGCTCACTGGCACACGCCCGCTCGCATACACAGTGTAGGAATGCGGTGCCGGGCCTTTCCGGCCTTCCGGAGGCGTTGCCTGGCGTTGCCGTGCTTCGCTGCTTGGCCGCTTCGCGCCGCGGTACTCGAGTTACAAGTCGGCAGTCATTAGCGAATGATTGGCCTCTTGTTTCAGAGGCAGCCCGCGGACCGGCACGCCCCTACTCCGCCACACCCGCACTCCGACGGCCCGGCGGCACGGCGTGCTTGCGGTCCTCTTTGAAACCACAGTGGGACCATCCCGGGCCATCCCGGGCCATCCCGGGCCAGCCCCGCCAGGGCGTACCTGGCTCGCCCCCCAGCCCGGCCCGGCCCGGCCAGCCCAGCCTGAAGGCCGAGGGCTGTGCTACATTGCTCTGTCCAACATCTATGCGTGGTTCGCACATTTTCCCGTTGGATTCATGTTACTTTTGACCCCCCCCCTTCCTCCAATTTTTGACGATAAAGTCCCAAGAGAGAAGATCCTGTTTGTATCATCAGGTAGAGACTCTGACACGGTCAGAATCGATGTGTTTAAAATCACAACTATTCGCGCGACTTAAATGACCCGACATTTAGAGTGCGCCTGTGACCTCCCCTCCGTTTACTCTTTCCACGACACTTCCAGTCGTGACGGGGCGACGCGCGTCGCGAATGGTTGCGGACTGGCTGGCTGGGCAGGGCGGCGCTGAGGGCCGCCAGAGGGCCACCGGCTGGAAGGTGATCTCCATGATCTCCGCTTCGGCGTGGGCTTGGACGAGCGAGGGCGAGGCAGGCACGGCAGGCACCGCTGGCGGGGACGGCAGGGACCGAGACGGCACCCCGGCCACCCGACACCGACACTCCGTGGATGCCCTTGGTGGCCTCGCTGGCCTGGCTGGCCTCGTCGGCCTCGCCGGCCCTGGTGGGCGTCGGGGGAGCGGGCGGGTGGTATTTAGGGGCGCGTCGTCGGGGGTGGCTCTCAATCGCGTGGTCGACGCCGAGGCGGCAACACGGCCGCCAAGCCAGGCTCGGCAGGCACGGCAGGCATGTCGCCGCCGCTGGCACTGCTGCTGGCCGGCCTGGCCGCCGTCATGGCGTCCAGCCGGCTGTCCGGCCTCCGCGCGCCCCACGTCGACCTGTCCTGGCTGGAGCCCGTGGACCAGGCCGACCAGCTGGACCAGGTGGAGCAAGGGGAGCAGGGGGAGCAGGGGGAGCAGGCCGGGGACGAGCGGCCCGCCCTGGCCGTGGGGCTGGCCGCGCTCGGCCTCCGAGGGTGCTTCTCGCCGCACTGCGCGGACAAGCCCAAGGCCGCCAGCTCCACCGACGCCAAGGGCCTCGGCAGGGACGCCGGCGCCGCCGAAGCCGAGCAGTACGAGGAGGCCGAGGAGGGGGCGGTCGACAACGCGGTCGACAACCTGATCGACAACCTGGCGGAGGAGCGCGTGGAGGCGCCGCCCCCCAAGCGGACCACCTTGGTGCAGGACCTCGCCGACTTGCTGCCGTGCACCAGAGGTAAGCCCTTGAGGGACTTGCAGTGCCGCGAGGGGCCGCGAGGTGCCGTGCCTCCATGCTCACATGCTAACGCGACTTGCAGGCGGCGGCAGCCTCCTGCCGTGCCGCTGCCACGAGGGATTCCACCCGATGGAGCTGGGCGAGGCGCACTACCCCCGCACCCTGAGCGCCGCGGTGTGTGTCCAGAGCCCCCACTGCCAGCCCTACGTGTACCACGTGCCCGTGCTCACGCACAAGGACCGGCAGACCCAGTCCAGCCAGGGCGGTCAGCCCGCGCCGTTGGTCCCCGACAGCCTCCGCAAGCACTGGCACTTCGAGTACAAGGCCGTGCCCGTGGCCTGCGAGTGCGTCCTTCAGCTCGCCCAGCACGGCCAGCACGGCCAGCACGGCCAGCACGGCCAGCACCACGTCCACTACGACGGCAGGGGCCTTTGAAGCGCTGCGAAGGGCGGCCCCGAACGCCGGCAGTCTCATCAGTGGAAACGAAAACGGACCCGCTGCCGAAACCCCGCGTAGAGTCTCTCCCGCGAGGGGTAGAGAAGAGACCCAACTCTTTTTCGGTACATGCTAGGAGCGCGCCTGAAAATGCACCCAGAAATTCAATTGCAGCAATCTCGGCTCTCGGATTTGTGATGGCCGTTTATGTTTAATTAGTCTGAACGTGGGAAAGGACTGTCGCAGTCCCTCTCCATGGATTGGAAGTGGCTGCTCCGCGCCAAGAGTGCTGTTTCGGAGGGCGGAGAGGGAGCGCTTCTCTGAGACAATTCTGAGTGACACTCTGAAAGTAGCTGAGCAGAGTGAGCCCTTGCTTTCTGAAACTTTATCGAGTGATACTCCGACATTGCTGCAAGCGCACCTTCCCGTCCTCAGCTCACTTCATTTCCCGGGAGAGGCTGCGAAGTACACTTTTTCAAATTTTAAATCATGAAGTGCCAGCGTGCATTTTCGGTGCCCCGTCGTGTTTTGCATGCCGCTCTGTGCCACCAGTCCCCAAAGAAATGGCCCTCCTGCCTGCGGGCCGCGAGCTGCAACCCCGCAGGGAGTACCCCTCGCTCCGCAGACTGATTCTCAACAGTCCTCCTCTCTCTTGCACCTCATTGGGCGTCCATTGGGGATGCGAGAGAGACAGAGCGAGGAATCAAATCAGCCCTCTGGCGATCGCCCACGATGCAGCACTGAAATTAGCGCGGAGTAGCTGGGCCATTTCTCTGCAGACTGCAAACCCAGACTCGTTGTTGTTTTTGTTGACGTTGTTGTTGTTGTTTGTTTGTTTGTTTGTTTGTTTGTTTGTTGTTGTTGTTGTTCCGCACGTCGTGGCTGGCGTTGCTAAGGGACCAGACCGAGGTGCAAACGACTGGTAAATTTCACGTCAGCTGGCAGCGGGATGATGGATTGTCGGGAATAGGAATTACTTGATTACCGTTTTGCTTGTCAGCCGGATTAACCGAGTCGCTTCCCTCTCCGTCCAGACACGCAGATCGTGTGTGCCTTATCACAAATACGGCATGTAAATAAAAGGAATTGAAGCCATTCGCCGCAATTCGTTTATGACACCTCTCTTCCACCAACGAACTCAAAGTTAATTTCAGTTCGCGTTTGGAAACATTACGCATTTTGCCAGACAGTGTGGAGGGGCGGTTAAACTGCGGTTCACATGCTCGGAGCAGTGCTGCCTGCTGCCACATAAGCAGGCGAAAATTCCTCTCTGCACCATTGTCGAAAGGGTTGGCAGCTGTTAGATACGCAGTGCATCCAATCCAAGATACAATCATCTAGTCACTTGATTCTAGTGCGATCTACCAGAAGGCAAGCTGAGGTTGGTAACTCTTTCGACACTGGTGCATTAGTGTTGATGTTTGACTGCACTGGCTCGCAGCGAAAGGGCGTCGGGTCGGGCCGACCGGGCCGGCCGGGTGCGCCGTGAGAACCCGCAGCCCGCGCAGCGCGTTGTTGCGCGAAGGGTTGCCTACTCGCGACCGCAAGGCGCGCGCCGCCGGCCCGGCATGCAGCGCCGCGCAGTGCCGCTCAGCAGCCCAGCGGCAGCCCGGCGGCGTGCCGACCACACCCGTGCCCGTACACAGCTCATTTCTCCCCATCGTAATCTGAATTTTATTTCAATCTTAATTAGCTTTGCTCCAAAACGGCGGTGGCGCGCTGGTTTCTGGACCTTCCACCGGAAACGCGTCGCCGGTTGCAATAATATTTAATAAACAGAGAGGGGAAAGGGGTGGCTGCACGAGTGAGTGCGTCATTATCGGCAAGTCGGGCAGAGAGGGAGAGAGAGAGGGGGGAGAGAGAGAGAGAGAGAGAGAGAGAGAGAGAGAGAGAGAGAGAGAGAGAGAGAAAGAGAGGGTAAGAGAGAGAGAAGGAACCGTGTGGTGGAGAGTGGGACGCGATCGGCTGTGCCGTCTGGGCCACTCCATGCAGGCCTGCCTCCTGATAGTGCGAAGGCCCGGCCGGCCGTGCCGTGGCTGTGCCTGTATCAGCATGGAGGCCTGGAGTGGGTGCGGCGGCGAGTCGCGTTGACACGCCGTGACGCAGAGCCGCGACGGCAGCTGCAGAGGCCGCGCCGAGGCCGTGCAGTGCAGCGTCTGGACCCAGAGCCTCGAGAGCCTCGAGCAGTCTCGAGCAGCAGGGCGTAGCCGCGTAGCCCGCAGGAAAATGCGCCACCCAGGAGGTAAGCCACGTCGTCGTCGCCTCGCCAAAATCTAAACTGCTTCGACAGAGCGTGTGCGGGGAGTGTCGGTCGAAACACGCGCCGCCCGCATTTTGCTGGAAACACGCCAAGGTTTTGACTATGCTTTGGAAGGTTGCAAAGAAATTTCTTCCACTGGCGAAGGACTCAGTCCGCATTAGAAAGGAAAGGCTTCGCAATTACAAAGCATTCGAGATCGACGGCGCGGTTGCGACCGCGTCATGACGCTCGGGCTGTGCTTGCAGTGGCGGCGAGAGACGCGCTGCTGGCCCTGGCCGTGGCCCTGGCCGTGGCCGTCCTCGCCCTGACCGCGGCCGTGGGCGCCTCGGACGACGAGCGCCACTGCCCCACGGTGAAGGCCATCCGCCACCTGCATCTCCACGACGTGAGTACCACAATTTTGAAAAAAAAAGGGTGTTTATCTCACTGCAGTACACGATGTGTGCTTAGTACACTCTGCCTGTGGTGAGCTTGTTGAAACAGACATCCGTCTGAAAGTAGAAGCACCTTTTGAATCTAATAAGTGTGCCCAACACGTGTATGAGAAACTGCGTTCGGCGCGTTGTCACAGCGCGCTCCCGCGCGACCGTAGTCTAGGATTTTCGACCGGTTACAGTCCTCTATCCCTCCGAGCTAGAAGCAAGAGCTGGAGCTTTGGAGAATGATCCGCTGATCCGCACTTCCTCTGCTTGTCCTAGATGCTGGGCCACTGGTTCGTGGTGCAGTACTTCGCGTCCAGCGAGGAGCTGCCCGAGTACCGCTGCATGCGCGCCGACTTCAGCCTGAGCACGGCGAGCGCGGAGGACGGCGTCGAGGCCCGGCCGAGGGGCCCGCGCGTCACCATGAACTTCACGTACGCCTTCAGCGACGACCCGGTGGGCGAGCGGCTGCGCGGCAACATCACCTGGCAGGTGCCGGACTTGAGCAGGCCGGCGCACTGGCGGCACCAGGAGGAGTCCTGTAAGTTCCCGTCAGTCCCCGCGCTTGACGGCGCCTCCCTGCTCTCTGTGTTGACGGCGTCTGATGACGGTATCCGCTTGCCGCGCTTGCAGACCAGGGCGTGTACAACACGTACGTGCTGGACTCGGACTACGTGACGTGGGCGCTGCTGCTGCACTGCGCCGAGCAGACGGGGTCGCTGCGCTACCTCAGCTCCTTCATCCTCAGCCGCACCAAGGACCTGCCGAACAACGTGCAGGCCTACCTGCGCGACAAGCTCACCCGCTACGCCATCGACCTGGACTACATGTTCCCCATGAGCCAGGACGACTGCAGCCTGGTGGACATCGAGGGCCCGGTGCAGGGCCCCGTGGCGGCGCCGCACATGCCGCCCCGGCCGCAACGGCCGCACCGAACGCGCAAGCACCCCCTGCAGCGCCACCACGCCCCGCACCCCAGGGGATGAACCTGGGCCGGGGCCGCCTCGACACCCTGCCGGGGGAGAGGGCAGCGTCAGTGTCAGACTTACGAGCGGCCGGCATCCATTTCATTTCGTGACCTACTTTCATACTTATTAGCACGCGTGCAAAGTTATCTCTGTCTTGTAAATCTGTGTGGAAATGAAACACACGACGGCGTCCGTGTTCTCGCTGATTCTGGATCGAGGTTCTTATTTCACCCCTCTACATCACGACGCGGGCACGGCTCCAGCGCGGCTTCACCACGGCCCCAGCCCGCAGCCCCCGGAGGGCCCCGGAGCGTTCTGCACCTGGCTCCACGCGTGTTGTGAAACCGAATCCAATAAGTGTAAAACCGCGGGCCGGGCGGGGCGGCAGCGCAGCGGATATGGCACGGCACCACCATGGCACAGCCACGGCACTGCCATGAGCCACGGCCAAGCACGGCGTCTGAGTCTCGCCCCGCTGCCCCGCTGCCCCGGCCGACTCGCGAGGACTCGCGGCGCGGCGGCCTCTGCTCCTCCTGCTGCCTGACTCGGCCCGGCCCCACCGCCAGAACAACAACATCAACAACAACGCCGCGACCAACAACAACATCGCAACTGGAAATGTGACAACTCGTTTAGCGGGGATGGATGCGCGGCAGGCTGAGCTGCTGGCCAGCATGGCTTTACCTGGAACTGGTGGTACACCGCCAGCAACGCGCGGCAACGCGACGAGCGAGTGGCAACGGCCTGAACGGAGTCGCCGGAGTGCATGGCTGGGTCTTCTTGCCGGGCGGGTCCCTGAGCCAACACGGCCAACTCGGCCAACACGCGCCTCGCGCCGCTTTGCTGTGGTTCGCGCCTCTCCGACGCACGCTGCGCACGCACTGCGCACTCCGGCGAGCACACACGCTCTCGCGCTCTCTCTTGACAAACCGTAAAACCTTTCTAGAAGCAGCCGAGTTTGGCCCAGTTTTGCCCAGGACGGCGCAGCGGAGACGACCCGCGCTCCGAAATTCGCGCACGGCTTTTCATCTTCGTAAAGGGTGGAATAGAACGGCACCGCTCGGCGCGCTGCTGGCGCTGCAGGCCGGACTAGTCCGAGTGATGCCCGGTGCCTCTCGGTCCGCGTCGTCGGATTTTTCTCCTCGTGAGTCTGGTTTCTCTGCGGAAAATGAGGCTGCCGGTAACGTGACCACAGACTCACGGTATCCTCCGCCCTGCTCCGCCCCGCCCCGCCCCGCCCCGCGCAGCCTCAAATTCAGAGTGACCCTTCCCCGCCTCGCGTGTGGTGACCGCCGCGCCGCCGCACTGCCGCCGGCAGACTGACGTGGGCTTCCCTCCGACGGCACTTATCGCGCTGCTTCCGCGGGGCCGAGGCGCCCCGAGGGCCGCAGGGCCGCAGGGCCGAAGGTGACCATCTTCCCGTGCCAGGACGTCAGCGGCGTCAACGACGTCAACGAAGGAGTCGGCCAGAACGTGTTAAAAGGCCTTTCCGACCGAGACGAGTCTCCAAACACCGTCGGGTTCACACGCACAGGCGCGCGCACCAACACTCACTCACGCGCACGCACACGTACACACACACACGCTCAAACGCGCGCGCGACGCCCATGTGACGCATTCCATCGGGGATTTTCTGCAAGTTCCTTCTCACCGTCAGGGTTATAAATTATAACGCCTGGGTAGGGACTGTAAACCTTACGATCTGCCGGTGGCGTGGTGGAGGTGCCTCCAGGAAGGGGGCAGGGGAGGGACAGAGAGAGAGAGAGAGGGAGAGACAGAGAGACAGAGAGAGAGGGAGAGAGAAAGGGGGGGGGGGAGGGAGGGAGAAGCATCAAGTGTTGATGCTGTGGGAAGAGACGCGCGCCGGAGTTACAGCCTGTAGATCTGCGCGACTACTCGCACGACACATATGGGCGGAAGATAAACTCCATTCTCGTGCAGGCGTCCGTCTGCCATTGCTGCCATAGCTCCATCGCCCTAACGTTGGCCGGCGCCGTCCAGCCGACTGCAGAGCAGTGCTGCAGTGCTTGCTGCGGCGGAAAGCTCGCGTGCATCGCGCGCCTTCCGCCGCCGGGCTCTCGTTACCGCCGTCGAATCAAAGCAAACTACCCAAGGCCATCAGCAGACTGAGAGTCGTTTGCGTCGGGCTATCTCTCTCGCGCTCCCAGGGCGTCCCCGACAGGGGCGAGACTGACAGAGCGACGAGAAAGACTCTAGGAATCAGGGCTAGGCGCGGCTAGGCGTCGCTGCGCAGTGCATGACGGGTACGCTGTATCTGTGTTCTGTATCCCAACGAGGATTGGCCAGAGCGCGCCTAGCCGGAGCTAGCCGGCCAGGCGGCGGCAGCGCGGCAGCCTGAGCGGCGCCGGGGGCGGACGGCGGACGGCGGCGTCGGTCGCGCTCGCGGGGCCACCGGTTCAGGCGAGTAGCGCTCGAGACTCGAGCGGCGGCAGGCGGTACAATCCGAAAAGTTTTTTCGCCGGGGCAAGCGCGCCGTGCAGGCCGGGCCGTGCAGGCCGCGGGGGAGCAGGGCAGGTGGAAGGGGGAAAAGGGGGGGGGGCAGCGCGCGGAGAGAAGGAGGACGGCGGCGAGGTGCACGCCGAGTAAGACAGAAGATGCGAGGGCAACGACACCGCCGCGCTGCGGTATATAGATGAAGAGCGACGGAGAGAGACAGAGGAGGTGGATGGAGGGGCAGGGGAAACATGTGGTTGCCCCTCCGCCCGTTACTCCAATGGCGGCCCATTCACTTCTTAGCTCCCCCTTCCCCTCTCGCCTTCTCTCATCCCGTCCTCTCCACCTGCCCGGCACACGCGCCTCAGACGCGCCTCTCGCCGCCGTGGCCGCGCCGGGTAGGCAACGCGAGGACAGCCTTGTCGGCTAGGCAACGCGAGGACAGCCGTGCCAGGTAGGCAGGGCGAGGACAGCCGTGCCAGGTAGGCAGGGCGAGGACAGCCGTGCCAGGTAGGCAGCGCGAGGACAGCCGTGTCACGCGGGGTGGGGTGACTGCCTACCTGCTAGGCGCTCGACGCTCGGCTTGCGGCGTGCCTGGCGGCGTGCGGTCCGGCTGGGGCGCCGCGCAGGTAGGCAGCCGTCCGCGTCACGGGACGCGGCTGTCCTCGCGTTGCCTACCCGCTGTAGGCCGCAGCGCGCCGCTGCGCTCCGGAAATGCCACACTCCACTGCAACACAAATACTTGGCCTGCCTCTGGCGGCCGGCCGACCTGAGAAGCCAAGAATTAGAGCGTAATTAGTGAATTAGTGCTGCAGAGCAGCAGACGCAGTCGGCGCCGATTAATTGCTGCACTCGGCGGAGCGATCTGCTCACCCACGTGACCACGTGACCCGGTAGCCGAGGGGGCTAAGGGGGCCGGTAGCGCACGCCGCCTCGCCTCGCCGCGCCTCTCGACGGCGGCGTTGCCGGGGCACTTGGTAACCACCAGACTCATTTGTCGCTGCCTCTGTCGCACCCGAACGGATCGCCTCACAAATGCGATGTGCGAAACCAGACAACCGCTCGGCCTGCTAGGACCGCATGCATAAGTCACGGATTGGGCCGAGGGCGGCGAGGACGCCAAGGACTCCGAGGACGGCACCGACAGAGAAACCACGCTTCGCAATCGGCTTCAAGAGCAACTGCATGTTCTGTTTTTTGGACGAGGTGGCAGTCTAACCTAACCTAACCCAACCTAACCTAACCTAACCTAACCTAACCTAACATAACACAACCTAACCCAACCTAACCTAACCTAACCCAACCTAACCTAACCTAACCCAACCTAACCTAACCTAACCTTACCCAACCTAACCCAGCCTAACCTTACCTATCCTTACCAACCTAACCAACCTAACCATACACATTTTCACTCCTTGCTCCACGAACTGTTCAGTGTTCAAAACATAAAACCAGCAGGTCCGAGGGTCGGTTTCGTCTCTCTGTTTCTCTCGCAGGCCTAAGGCGTCCCGTATATGTGCGAGAGAGACAGCGACGTACGACGTAGTCAACTCTCGGAATCATTCTACAGCAACGTTTTATTTCTCCTGCCCTGTGTCCTCCCTTCGCGGAGAGCCTTAAGTACTGCTACATGAGCAAAGCTATTTTTTTCTCTTCAATTCTCCGTCCTGTTGCAATATCAAGTTGGCCTGATTTTGAAGCTAATGGCCTTCCGACACGTGCGGCCCGCTACTTAGTGGGTGTTACTCTAACCGTGAACCTACACCTCACGAATCAACAGGGGCGTGGCGGGGCGGGGCGGCGTGACGCTAGGGTGCGACGCCAAGCGCGACGTCGCCGCTCCGCCGCGCTTGTGGGAGGCAGTGTGATGGACCCGGACGTCGTCGAAGACTCCACCAAGGCCAAGGCAGCCGTCTTCGTGTTGTCGATGGCGGCGGAGGGGAAAGTGGCCAAACCGTCCGAGGAGCGTCCCCGTCGTCGTCCTCCACGTGGCGTCGCTGCACGGCCGGCTCTGGGCTCTCCTTTGTGAAGCGCTCGGCTTTCGCGCCTTCGGGCCTTCGTCTCGCGTCATGTCGTCGATCGGTCGCCCGATTTCGAAGGATCGTTTTCGTCGCTCTGTCTCTGCCGCACTCATGGGGCGCCCCGCTGGGGTGCGAGAGAGACAGGCGGCGGGCCAACAAATCGCAGTCGAAGCGGCCACTTCTGGTGCGCGGCGCACCGCGGTGACGGAGGCGAACGGAGGCCTTTGCCTGTCCGGCCGCCGCGCCCCTCGGCCTGGACGCGGACGTCAGCGGCGCCCAGTATGAATGACTCGGGCGTGCGGCGATGGTCCCGTTAAAAACAATGCTGCCTTGCTGGGCATTTGTCGGTCTGATCGGCACCGTCCCGAGCAGGCCTTTCCCCTGTTACTCCATCTTTCCGTCGCTCCTTCGTCTGGAACCTGAGTCGCTCGGGCTGCCGGGCGGGGGGCGGGTGGCACACCGAAGGTGGCATGTCGTAGGGGGCTCCTGGTCGAGAGGCACAACTTTTTAGTATTTACCACTGAAAGTCAGGTGACCGTACCTGTGCTATTTTCTTTTTTAAGCTTTTTATAGCTGCTAAGATTGTTATGAACGAGAGTTTTCATCTACAGCTCTGGGTTCAACCTCTAGGTTGAATTGAGCGAGTTTCCTTCGGCGACTTTTGGCGTGCACTTGATCTCAGGACTGTTCGCTCCCCCGGACCAGGCCAGGCCTTGGCCAGGCTGTCCCCTCGACCGC